AGAAAAACAAACAAACGAAGAGAAATTCGCGCAGGGGAAGTCAAAACTGACCCAGATCCAGCCCCAAACAAGAACACAAAGCACAAAGTCAAAGTAAATTCTTCAGCTATGGGGGGATCTGAAAATGGAGATTACCTTGGGAGAAAGCGCAGAGGAAGAAGAAGATGAGAAGATGGAGAAAATGGAGGAAGAAGAACCAGAAACCGAAGGCAAAATGGTGGTGCCAGCCAAGAGTTTCGGTGCGGGCCGCATTTTGCAGTGTCTCCAATTAGTGATCCAAAATAGCCCTTGACTTTGGGATTATCTACGTTTTTGCCACTACTACGCAACCAAGTCCAAGTAGCTCCTATCGAGCTTTACAAAGTCTGGGTCTGTGAAGTTTGTGCGTCGGGTTTAGATTGTAACAAGTTTTTCAGGCTATATAGTTTGGGTGTTTGTGATTGACGAAAAACAAAGGGTATGTTTTGAATTGAACTATAAAAAGTTAGATCACAATTACGAAGGACTGAAGTTAGATATTGGAAACTAATATCGTGAGAGATTGATCAGGCGGACTTGTTGATGAGAGAGGTCAAACGATATCATGTCCTATTTGACTTGAGTCTTATTGTGTTAGATGAATGTGAGCCATTGCTAATTTTTTTTTTTTACAACATGTAGGGTGGGGATCGAACTCACAATCTCTTAGTTGGAGATATATGTCAATTACTGCTGATCTATGTTTGTTTTCACAGTCATAGCTAAAATTTAGCTTCATATGCCTAGAGTTTATTTGATTATGAGTCTTTGTACAAAAATGCATAGAGTTTAGAAAGATTACACTAATCCATTCTAGATACAAAATTAAATCTTTAAAAACCAAACTCAAAATCACAAACCAAATATTCCCTAAAAGATTAAAATTTCCTCACCTACATATTCTAAGACGTCACCCTAAATCCTTAGGTATCAAGATTTCATATATCCAATTTCATCCATTCTCACCATTATATTAAGTATGATTTTTTTTCTGTTTCGAAATAGAAAGTATATTTAATTTACCTTTCATTTTTCTTCCCATCACAATACTCTTAATTAAATAGATTTAAAAGAAAAACTATTGTAACTCATACGGTATGTAAAATAATATTTTTTAATACAATTGTGAGGTGGAAATTCAAACTCACGACAACTTGATCAAAAGTAAGTGTCTTAATCTAATAACTTTAAATTGACATATAAAATAAGTTATCATAGGTTGAGTACACCCTTTTTAATAATTATATATAAACAAAAAATCAAATTGTATCCATGAATATATTTCTCCTGTCGTTAGGTTGCACTCCATTTGTCAAAAAACTGAGTTGTGAGGTGGGTCAGTGGTTGTGACTCAATGGACGGTGGATGGATCACAGAGAGAAACTGATCGGACGGTCAGACGACTTCCACAGAAACCCAAAACGCAATTCAAAATAATATTAAATAAAATATCTCATCTATTTTTGTTGTTAAACTTTTCTTTTAAAATAATCGTTTCCAAAGTACTTTTTTTTTCGGGTTCATTTTAGTTATATACTTTCGAAATATCTGTATTTAATTTTTTGTCTATTTTAATATATATACTTTGTAAACGTTTGGTTTAGTCTCTGTATTTTTGTAAACTATTTTATTCTCTCTCACATTTTCTTTGTTTACAATTTCAACACTACATTACATGCAATGTATTTTTTGACATGTAGTCAATAACTTTATATTAAAAGGTCTACGATGTGTATAGAAGTTGTGTGAAAATTTTACAAACAAATACCAAAATAATCATTTTATAAAAGCATACAATTGAAATAAATGAACCAAAATAGAAATTTACGAAAGCAGAAATATCAAAATAAAATAAAATTGAAGGTAACGTAAATTAAATACGGACAATTTCAAACATGGCAAAAACATTTAGTAAAATTAACAAAATAGCAGCTACATTTAGGTTTTTCAAATATAGCACTTTTTCAAAAAAGAAAACTCCACCCAAATGATATATATCTGTAATATATATGACTGTTGATATATATATGTGAAATACATATAATATACTACTGGCATGAATGTCTAAGATACTTGCAATATGTATATGATATACATTCGATATACTACTGATATAAGTGTATGTGCAATATGTATGTGATATATATCTAATATACTATTGATATGAGTATCTGATATACTTACAATATGTATGCGACATACATTTGTACTGTATGTATTGTAATACATATCTAATATACTTCTGATATAAATGAAACTTTTTGCTATATTTAAAAATTTTAAAAATATGTAACATATTTTAAAATACATAAAAGATTTTTGTTAGGACGCTGTTTATAAATTAAATAATTGAAATATTATATTTGTTTTGTAGCATAAGTACGCGTTTTCTTATTTTTTTTATTTTTCTTTTTGTTTAGGAAAAAGGCGAATATGATATGAGAACGCGTTTGGAGAGTTTTATTGGGGAGCCGCGTGGTACCCATTGGCGCCAGCTAGATTGAAGTAGTTCAAATTTTTAATGCCAAATATTGATTATTTTTTAGAACTCAGGCAAACGTGGGTGGGGTCCACCTACTTTTTTCTTCCACTCTTAGGCTGACGTGGATCAATGAGATTTCTTCTAATGATGGCTTTTTAACAAGGTCAAAGTTTTGGAGAATTTATCTACAATCTTGACTTTTGTTTCTAGTATCGGTCCATTGGTGTCCGTTTCGTGAAAAATTGGTTTCATGAATTTTTCTTTACTCCTACTCGATTAGGTTTTCATGTCAATTTAAATATAATTTAATAGATTAAAGTATTGATATTGTAGAAAAGATCGATGGTTCGGTCTAGGGTTTAGGGTATAAAAAATTAATTTAAGTTTTAATTAGTAAGCATTACAAGACAACTCTATCGAAGAACAACGAAAGAAAAATGTTTGTTTTCTTCTTTTTTTTTTTTGACTTGGAAAGTTTAAAATTTCACATCTATCTCATGAATTAATTTCAATATGTTTTTCGACAACAAATGTTGTAAGATCAGACGACTACTCTATGAGATTAGTCGAGGTGCACACAAACTGATCCTCACACTCACAAATATATTAATAAGTAATTTGTAATGTTACTTAAACTAAAATTTTCAACTCAAATAAAATTCATGAATGATATACTTTATTCATATATTTAGTATGACTTAAATGTATTAATGATATACTTGATATTCGATATATCAATTCCTATACATAATATCAAGTATATCGATGATATCCTTTTTTTTAAGTATATTTTTCATAAACAACGATGACAAAATTAGAATAAAAAAAGAAATGAAATTTTCAATTTAGAAATTTTGCCATATTTACCAAATAAAAAAGCTAGTATTATATTTGCAAGTATAGCAAATATTTTTACTACCGGTTAAAAATACCCAATAATTTCTTAGCATCGTCAATAAAGATTTGAAGTAACACAAAAGTTTATATTACTAAACAGATATATCTAGTACCGTAAATAAATTCAATCAAAATAGTTTAAAATAAAGTAACACAAATATATATTATAATAACAAATGTGCAGGAGATTCAAACTCGTGGTCTCTTAATTAGAGATAGACATCGATTACCATTGAGCTAAGTTTATGTTAACAATGTTCTATCATTTCTTTTATATTTAAATATATTTATATTACGTTTTTAACATTTATTACCTAAATTGAGAAATATTATTAAGATAAAACATGTCACATGGACTACATTTGAAAGATAAGAACTCCGAGTCATTTTCAAAAGCTAGCACCAAAGAGGGAGTTAAATTAGTCAAGCAAAATATAGCTAATGGAAATTCAAGGAAATTGCAAGGCACATTATAGAAATTGGAATAATTGGAATTGAGATAATGGAATTAATGAATAATCATTATCATTATGGAAATTGGAAATTGGACATGGCCACCTTCCATCTTCCTTTTTTCTCTTTATTCCAAATCTGGAAACCAAACCGCCAAACTCGCTAAACCGAACCGAGAAAAAACCGAACCATCGTCGGTTTTGGATTGCAACCCTATTTAGAGATCACAGGCTTTCTCAATTGATGACATAAAAAGAAACTTCCTTTTTTCAGTCAGTTACCAGAAAACTAAGCACATGAAACGCCCCGTTTCATCTATGCACAAAATATTACCTCAAATTTCATCCTTTTAAGTAACTTCTAATCAAACCCAACCAATTCCTTTTAAGTAATTTTACTAATATTGTCGGTCCCAACTTCAAGTAATGCCTAAAACAAATTCTAATTCTAATTCTAACTTCTCATTTGGTTGTTATTTTCTTGTCAATTGTTTAAGAGATGAATGACGTGTCTTCATATTTGTATCAACATAATGATATTGACGAGTATTGAAGTCGGGTAGACTAATTTAAAGTGGATATTTGGTGGGGTAGAAATTGATGATGGATATTGGGTGGATATCATTCATTCTAGCTCTCGATCGTTGATAGTTGTTATGTTGTGTCTTGTTTATGAGATATGTGGTTATCGATCTTTTTCTTTGCAATATATTTAACTTTTATCAAAAGAAAAAGAAAAAGTGATCTTAGAAATATAACAAGAAAAAGGGAGCAATTATAGTTTGTAGTAAATGGTTTATTTTTATTTTTAAAGATTTAGAGACTAAAATATCATAAATTATTCAAAAGAAGTGTTAATCTTAATTAGTGATGGTTGAGTGGGGGCACTAATAAAAAATGACGTGTACTCCAAAATTCAATCACAATTTGAAGTCAACCTCAAAATATTCCACAACATTTTTGTAAGTGGGAGAATAGACCATACCAATCGTTTTCCGTTCTGTCATTAGTCATGAATAATTACAAGTTCAGAGAACTATGTAAACAAAAAGTTTAAAATAATATAAGAGTTTTAGTGGACTATTTTAATATGTAATAATTTAGTCCATATAGTTTAAAATTTGTAATAATTTAGTCTCTACCACGAGAATTCTCATCAAAATTAAGCATCAATGTTTATCATATAACGGTTTAATTTTATAATTTATAAACTAATTCGATCCTTCATTGGTTTATCGATCTACATATATAAAATATTTAACCAAAAAAACTCACAACGAGACTAAATCATTACAAACTTTAAACTTCAAAGACTAAATTGTTACATTCTAAATTCCAGGGACTAAAGTGTTACCAATTTGAAAGTATAAGAACTAAATCGTTATTTTTGAAACTTCAGGGACTAAATCGTTACTTCAACTAAAGTACAGGGACCAAAAGTGTTGTTTAACCAATTTAGAAATATATTAGATGCAACAGTGAAGATAACGTCGTATTTTGGTAAATTTAGAGTTTATTGACACTTTTTAAAATTTTGAAATATATTAGATGCAACGGTGAATGTACCCTCGTATTTTTGGTAAAAAGTTTTATATGTGAAAAATGAGTAGTTTGAATATTTTTGAATTGGCTCTAAATATTTTTTATTAATAAAATTAGTGATGTGCAAAATTATTTAGCTTAAGATTTAGTTTTACAATAATTAAGTTATTTCCTAAATCAAAAGAAAAAAAAAAGATAGATAAAATCTTTTTTAATTTGAATTTGAATTTAAATCCTGTTGAAATTAAGCTTTAAGCTTTCTTATAGAACCCTTAAACAAAACATGGACCATATCCCACTATCCTCAACCCTTAATATTTTTAATTGCCATTAAGGTAGGTAGCTTTCCTTTTGAAATATCTATGATATTTGATTATGTATTGTTTATTTCTTTGGATTGCGTATGTATGAATTGATTTATGTTTTCGTGTCAAAAATCATGAAAATGTTTTTATAAAAGATTTTTGAAAAGTTTGTGCAATTACCTCATTTTAAAAGACTCGTTTTGTCGAGTTAGATTTGGCTCTACTAACTAGGTGCTAACTATTATTAGCGGCGTAAAGTCTCCTAAGAAATCCGCTTATGCACTTGGTATTATTTATAAAGAATGAATTTATTGCCCACATTAGCCCCATCTGTTTATGTTACATGTTATGTATGTGTATACCACGTTAGCTGTTAGCTTGGTTACCTACGGAGTATTAATACTCACCCATTTTTCCTTTTCTTTTCTAGGGAATAAGAAAGGCGTACAAGGACAAGTGACGAAAATGTCGCTTCTATATATTAGTTCTATGTTTTCTTTAATTGTTATTAAAAATTATTTATTTTACTACTATGTTTTTATGTATTTTTTTTATGGGATCCCAAATAAGGGTTTTTAATTATTTTGTAAAGTTATTTTATGAAAATATAATTTACTATTTATTTTTTTTTAAAGGATTTTTTATGTAATTAACATGTATTAACATTCAACAATTTAAGATCCAACTACAATTTAAGTCCCAAAAAGTTGGATGGTTGTCATGAATATTCAAGAAGAGAAATTTATAATTTAATCGACCAATAAATAGATTACTAATTTTGAGAATTATATTCCCCCAAGAAAGTAAAGAATCTTAAAGTTGTGAACTTCAACCATTATCCCTGCATTTCTCATAGATCTCATATTCAATTTAAATGGATCCTCATTCTAAATGTTAATAAATTAAATTTGGTCATCTACATTTGTTTCGATTCTCTTCTCTTAAGGAGTAACTAATTTGGTAAATAATTGAAAGCAACGAGATAAACCCTTTAACAAAAAATTTATACGTAATAGAAATCCTGTATATGACTCTATTTCAAGAAATTTAATAAATAATCGAAAGCAATGAGATAAAAAAAAATGAATAGATTTTTAGAAATACGGGATCAAAATAGTATTCAAACCATTAAACAAAATTGATCCTAATATGCCCTTTTTTTTTAATCTCAATTTCAAAAGTTTTAATAAACACAATAGTAGAAATTTTATTAAGTATACACAATTCAATAGCTAAAAATGGTACCTATAGAATCTTTGCCTAATAAAATTACTTTTGCATTGAATTTTTTTATCTCAAAAGTCAAAATTTTGCATTGAAGACATTACTTAAAAGGTTATAATCTTGCAAAAGGGACCATMATATTGCCCCATGAAATTGAATATGAAAAACCAGATCAAGATACAAAAATGATATTTATATATCTAATTTCTACTTACATTCCCTTCCATAACCTCATTTCTTGACCAAATTTAGTTTTGAAATAACTGCAGCTGCCTGATCACCACCCAACAAGAAATAAGGATGCCTCAGAGCAGCGGCAGCCGATAAACGCCCCCTTCTAAGGAAGCCTCTCTCCGAGACAAGCTTCGTTGCGAGATCCCACCCCCTCCCCGAGTCGAGATCGAGAATCGTCAAATCGGGCTTTGTTCTTGTTTTCTCCCTCCATTTATTCAAGTCATATCCATAGTTCTTGAGTTCCAAATTGAAATTCTTCAACCCAGCACTACTTCTCAAGTTTGGTACTGCCATTTGCAAAAGCACAATACCAGCAGAATACATGTCAAACAAATCTGGGCTGTTCAGCTGCAAAACCAAAACAGTTTCCACATTGAAATAATTCAAAAATATGCAAAGGAATTCCACAACAGCCCTTTTAACAGCATAAATCATTCTATGTGTTAAATTATGAATTTGGTCCCTGTATGTTGTATTGTATCTACTCCGTTTTTGTACTTTAAAAAATTTTAAATAARTGCCTTTTGAACTTTAATAAGTTTCTAATAGATTCTTGAACTTTGTGCCGATGCTAACTCTATTARTTTATGATTATGCCTCAGTTTACTTGACCTGGCCTAAAATTCAACCACCATCTAATCTTTAACTAATACATAATACAGTTAAAATGTGATTGAGGCCWTTTAGAGATAAAATTGAAAGTTAAAAATCTATTTAAAATTTTTAAAGTTATTGAGCCAAGTAGGCAAACTTTTAGAAGTTTAGAACCTATTAGAAAACCTTTTTAAGTTCAATAACGTAATAGACACAACCCTATCATTTGGGAACTAAAACTTGTAAATTAACCTTCTATATAAATAGATATAAACTGAGCTTACTTCAAATATTCATAATTAAACTCTTTTATCACTTTACTAAAAGGCATCAGATTCCCAAACTTAGGCTTTTAAGAACAGATCCATGGAAATCAGCATACCTGCCAGACTATGGGAGAAAAAAGTGCAGCAATGGGAGCTGGAGGGGGGCTCGGTGTTTCTTCAGGCATCACGTAAAGCTCGGGAGGGCAGTAATCGGGATCCAGCAAAGCAAGATTTGGTACGTAGTTCTTGCCGATCCGAAGGTCAGTGGCTGCCCCGAAATCAATAATCTTTATCTGCCCTTTCTTGGTTACTACTAAGTTTGCAGGCTTCACATCCCTGTGAACAATACCTGTGTCGTGGATCTTCTTCAATGATTTAATGATTTGGCGTAAGATTTGCTTGATTATCAAAGCGTTCTTCTCGACTGAGTTTACGCCTCGTAAGACACGTCCAAACATAAGAGCTTCCAAGTTTACAGGGAAGCTTCTATCTTTCATGTAATCAGCAAGAGTTTGATCTCCCTGTCATATTCAGATGGGATCAGAGAAATTGGTTTTGAATGTTGCCTCCAACTTGATTCATAATAATAAAATCAAGAGTTTAGATTGATTGAGATGTATTACAAATTTCCTCTAGCCCAATAACTTAAACTTAACTTTTACTATGTTTAGTGTCAAGTGGAGCCGAAAATTATCATAAAAGTGGTAAAATTTTACATCTTAACTAACAAATTAAAGAGAGAACTTTAGACCCGACTAGTAACTTTTCCCGTTTCTTGTTTCTTATTTCCAATTTAGAACTACAGTGTTTGATAACTATTCCTGTTTCTCGTTTCTCATTTTCATGAAACTTTTCCAGAATTGTATAAAAATTTTAGCAACAACAAAATCGAGTTTCTTGTTTCTTGTTATAGTTTCTAATTTTTTTCATAGTGTAAATTAAACCTTCACCTTGACTTATAAAATGCATAATAAATATTTAAAAAAAATAAATATAGCATAATTTAATTTTAAAAAATTAAATACATATAAAACTTTTTACTTTTATTTTTTTATTTCAAATGGAAGATAACAGAAATCAACACATTATTACCAAACATGTTGTTGTTTATTTTTTCAATTACAAGAAAAAGACCAAGAAACAAGAAAAAATTATCAAATTCAGTTCTATTTTTATTTATTAAAAAAGAAAAAACAATAAACAATAAACAATAACATCACCCAACAAGCCCTTAAACCTGAGATCTAATGTTATCAGGACGTCTTTACCTGAAAAACTTTCGATGTCGCTTGAACTTTTACAAAATGTTATTAGGAGATCTCGAGTTCAAAAGCTTACAACAGCACTTCCTCTCCATTTCATATACTTGTGTCATAATTCAAGACGATAATATATGGAATGATTAAATTGTTACAGTAAATGATGTGTAAAGTACCTCAAATTTCCAAACGAGCCATTTCCCTCCTGCAGAGAATTGCCTGCTTTCTCTATCAGCTACAAAACTGCCAAGAAACTCAGCACAAGTTTCAGGCGCTGCTCTTGAAAGTCTGTAGTTAAACCACTCTTCATATTCCCCAAACTTCTCTGCTCCTTTAACTCCCACCTTAATCTGCACCATTACCCCCAAACAAAACAAAAACAAGAAAAACGCATCTTCATTTGTTCTTTTTCATACCTAAAAAGCACATGGAAATCGAAATAGCAGAAGTCAGGGATAGCATTCTATTGCTCAAATAATAAGCAACAAGCACTTCTCTTTCAAAATCATGGTGTTTGAGAGTAATATACAAGTGTTCTTTAAAAATGGTAAAAGCACTCAAAAGGGCTTTTATAAAGTAACACTCCTAGAATAATTTAAGGTCAAGTGCTTGGCCAAGAAGCACAAGTTTGCACTAAACTAACCCACGAGTATTTTTGAAAATGGGAAAAGCCTTTGTTGACTTTTGGCTTCATGTGTTTGACAGTGCTAAACATCAAAGTGTTTGCTAAAATTTTTAAAATCAAAGTACTTTTCCTAAAAATAGTGACGACATATCTTTTAGTTCAAATCATTTTTCTCATAATCATCTCTTAAATGCTTAAATGCTTAAAACTATAGGTGTGAATCATTTTAAAGTCACATTGAGGATCATCATCACTTAAAGAAACTCTACAAAACACACTTTAAATTAAGTACTTCTTAAGTGCTAGCAGAAAAGATTTTCTTATTGAAAAAGCACTTTTGCATCACATCATAGAAAAACACAACTAGAACGCAGCCTGGTGTTACCTTCTTAAGAATCACCTTGTCCTTCCCATCCACCTCCAAACCTCTACTCGCTCGCTCCTCAATCTTCACATTCTTGGGAAGAAACGCACCCGAATAAACAACTCCAAACGAACCCTCCCCCAATTTTCCCCCAATCACAAAATCAGAGCTCTTCAAGCTTCTCCTCCCCGTCAAACTGTCGAGCCCCAGCTGCAGAGGAGCCAGAAGATAGGCATCAATGGCGCCAAAAAGCACCCCTGGTCGAGCAGTGAGATAAACCCACAAAACCCCAGCAAAAACAATGAAACCCCATTTCTGCAAATCGCTCAATTCCCCCGAGAATCGTTGAAACTGAAGGTACCCAGATTGCAAAACCGGAAGCTGATCCACCGGCCGGAGAGGGCCGTCCAAGTTATCGAGCAGGCGGTCGGAGATGTCGCCGAAGAATGCCTTGGTCCTGAAAGTTCCGGCGAAGAGGGAGACGTGGGATTTGAGAGGAGAGAAAAAGAGGGTTTGGGGAGTGATTTGGAGGGAAATCGAAAGTGGGGAGAGGAGAGAGGCCATGGTGGTGTGGGCGAGTAAATGGGTGTCGCAGTTGGAGGTCGCTGAATCGCATCTTTACAGAGTGGTTCGATTCGGCAGTGGCTGCACAGAGGCCGCGTGGCTTTATCTAGTTTATCCCATTCTGTGAGAAGAGAACTGAGAAGCAACTTTTTGGGCGCTGAGAAATGGGTAGGTGGGGGCCCTCTCCCTCCATTTTGCTCTTTTTCCATCTCTTGTTCTTCCAATGATCTAACTAATTGAACTTGAAGAATATTGATAATGAACAAGTACAATTCAAGTATATTGATATGAATCGAGATGTTTTAGCCTTACTTTTATGACCAATCAGTTGTTTAAAGGACAATAACTCGTCTTTGCTCTTACTACTCTTCTTCTAAAGAGTAATGAACTCAACTAATAAAGATCGGAAACGAGAAGAGATGGTGGAGATTTGTGTTAATAATATTTTATTATTATTTATTTAAATTTTATGTTTTGGTTGTGTTGGAAATGAGAGATGAAAAATAGAGCAAATTAGTTATTTTGGAGAGTTTGATTTAATAACTATTTTATAATTAAAACATTTTATTTTTGTGATATTATTCTATAATAGTTGTAATGTTTATGAATTAATGGTATACATTAACAACGTTTAATTTATTTTATAACAGTTTTCAATTCTGTACAAAATTCTAAACTAGTTCTTCGATTTCAATTTGTTCTGACGCACGTTCGAGTGGGGTGTTTTGTTAACCTTGGGGAGTAGGAGATGTACATAAGATTTAGCACCGTAACCGTGTCAAAATTACTTTTAAATTGTTATAATAGAACAAAGATTTAGATGAAAACGATTGTTGTACTGTGGAAGAACCACGGTCTTAAAAGCAATTTCAGCATAACCACAGTGCTAAATTATATGTATGCCGATTGTTCCCCAAAGTTAACACAACACCCAACTATAGATACTTAATTACTCGCTAAGCTCTCTCAACTATAGCAATTTCATCGTGTAGATTAGGTACTTACCCCAACGTATATGCACAATATTTCATCAATCTCTTAATGAGATTCGGCAGATTCAACAAGATTAACGTTCCTTTTAAAATTGAAGCTGAAACAAAGACAATTCTATGACTATCTTTTAGCTGAGTTCCCGAAAATTGATCCTTCAATTGGGCTGACATTCGGCCCACGTAAATGTGTACCCAATTTCAGGCCCAAACGGTGACGATTCTCAATCCCGGCGATGATAGCCTCCGTCGGATCGTGCATGTTCAGTTCGAACTTTCCGGTCAAGGTTTCACCATGTGCGACTCTGTTCCGTCGCTCCCCTTTACATCTCCGATCAAATTTCGACGATTAGGGTTCACCCAATTCGAATCTCTTTCCCTCCTTCTTTCAAATCCCTTCAATTCTGGCCGCTCCGTTGTTAGAAATGGCTGCCCACTCTTCCCTTCGAAGACAAGAGTCACTAAAAGCTTGGGCGCATTTGTACCAAAGCGAAATCCGTTCAGCAGCGAGTTAAGATTGAAGGGTGAAGACGAAAATCTTTTCGACGTCGAACCAAGTCGCAGCGTTCCAAATTTAGATGATATCGAGGGTAATTTCACTGGTAGAAATGAGATTGGTTCGGACGAAGGACGGGGTGATACTGCAGCAGCTGCAGCTTCGTCCGGGTTGAAGTTTCTCGATCAGAAGGGTGGTGGGGAGGGGAAGAAGAAGGGCATGAACAGCGGAAGAAGCTCTGAAGGAGAGAGGGATTTGGTTCCCGTTGAAGATAAGGGTGTAGAAATGGAGAAGGAATCGGAAGTGGAGAGTGGGAAGGTAGCAACGAGGAAAAGGAGGCAAGTGATGAGGAGATCGAACATGTTGGCAAAGCAAGTGATCAGCATTCAAAGTGCTCTTAGCTTGGGTTTCGTCTCGCAGCTTTGGGTTGATGCCGCTTCTGTAAGTGACGACGTTCTAATTGTAGCTTGGGTTTTGAGTTTTTGTGTGATAGTTATGTGCTCTAATTTATATGCTATTGTCTTCTACAGTGGATGGTAACGTTTGTGGAAGTGAAGCCAAACTTGCTTTCTGGGGAATCAGAATGGTTTCTTCTTGAGGATATTAGCCAGGTAATTTTTCCATCTTCTTCCTCATTCATATGCACCTTCTCTGCACATTTAGGATTCGAATTACAAGTCTGAGACAAATGGTATAAAGAGTTCTGTAATTCTCTACAGTTTAGGAATTGTAGATTATTGCCTTTATAGTTACTTTACTATGAACCTAACTTTTGAGTTTTAAGTCTATTTGATTGCTTAACCAATTTAGATGTTGGTAGGTCTAGTGCTTCACTGCCTTGGATCTCCTTGCACCCACTTTAGACTCTTTCTTCAGCCTTCTTAGGGAATCCTGTTCTGAAATGTCTAGTTCTCAGCAGTAGATGGGCATTCATGATTGATGTGATTAGAATTTAGAATCAGGAGGACCCCTTAGAGGACTCTTGCTACGTTTTCTTGTCTGTGGCCGGTGTCCGTGGTTGAACTTATGCAAAAACAAAGTTTCTTTTAACATCTAATAAAACCCTTTGCAGGTTGGTGATGTTGTTCTTGTCCAAAATGAAACCGTGATGGAGAATGAATTCAAAATGGCTGGATTGGAAACGCTGGTACAGTTTGTTGTTTATTTGTCCCCTCCACCTTCAATGAGAAAAAAGTATTCTTTCGACGATGATTTTTTTTGATTTTGTAGATAGAAAGGTGCTATTGAAGTTTGCATAGGATTTTGTTTTGGGGTAGTTGGAGGGCACTGATATTCGTGGTTTATTTTTGGACATTAACAATCAAGTATTTGCTAGGTAGGATACAGAGTAGTTACACCTGGTCGAAGAAATATCGGAAAGGTATCTACTTTACTCGAGAAAGCTCTGGATTCTGGAATCATCATTTACTGTTTATTCCTCACGTGTTTCAAAATGTTGTGCTTAGATACGGGGATACACTTTCAACATTAACTYAGGGGCAGTTGAATCTTTGGAACTTGATTCATTTGGGTATTCCTTTCTCCCGTCCAGCCTGGTAGGTGGAGTGATCCTTGTAAATCCGTTTCATATACCCACGAATACATAGAATTTGTTGCTTTCGGTTTCTACTGTTGATATCTTTACTGAACATCATGTACTTTTCAAGTTGGTCTTAGATCTCATGAGACTATTTCAGGTGAGTACATATGCTTTGCTCGTTGAGGATGTGCTCGAAGTCATATCTGACGTGGTGGTTGTACACGAAGATGCTGCATCACGCATTCAAAGGCTTACAAAGGTACCATACCATCCTATGTGTTTAAACTTCCCCGTACATATTATGTTGATTTTTCTTTTTTTAATAAGAAACAAAGTATTTATTGATCTATAAAAAAGGAGACAACCTAAGGGCAGACAATCCGGCCTTCCATATTATGGTGATAATATTGTTGCTTTGCTCCCTTTTCTCTTCTTGTGTGCTGAAGATTAGTAGTAGACTTGTAGTTTAGAGGAGAGAACTTTATTTGGCCACTCTAGAGTTTCTGAGGAAGTCTGTGAGATTGGAGATTAATCTTTTCAAATTATTGTTGTTTGGGAAGTTTCTAAAATTGGTAATTGGTAAAATGAATAGAATTCTAAAGCTGGCTGATTTTCTTATTTTAATAATATGTAGTTGAAAAGCCAAAGCGAGCATGACTCAACGATAATTGGCATATATTTCCAACCAAGAGGTTATGAGTTCAATCCCCTACCCCCACATGTTGTATTAAAAAAATAATATGTAGTTGAAAAATGTAAGAATGAAGCAAAAAAATCAAATAGATAAAAGAGAGATCAAATTTAGCAACAAAATGTCCAAATCCAGCTAAAAAGTATTCAACACAAGTAAAAAAACCAATACTAACAAAAAATAGTCTCGTCCAACCACAAGAACGCCTAGAATTAACTGTAAATCTGTAGGAAAAAAAATGAAGTCACTCGTTCAAGTTTAGAGTGTAATTTATTTGATGAAATTAGACTTTTAAGTTATTTTCTTGCTCATGGATCATATGCTTGGTTGTACCAGGGATTCTTAGGCATCCAAAGTGTGGGGAATTCATTAGATGACCTTGAAGAACAGTACGAGTTCGAAGGACGGAGATTTGATCATGGCAGTTGGAGTAGTAACAACAGAAGAAGTTATGACAGTAGAAGACCTCGTAAGAGCAGGGAGACGAACAATGACGATTTGGGGCTCCCGATGGATTATCTCTGAACCTAAACTCAGGTTTTCCACTCGCTTCCCCTTGTACATTACACCACACTTTTGCATATTTGCTCTCCTCTTTTACTTTTGAATTGATGCTGGATTTGGTGGATTGAATGTTTGGATTTGGAGCCAAAAGTCTCACCCTCCCAAGTTTCAAAATGGGGGTCTTCCCTCTATTGCCCACCAATTGAACTGGGGAACTCTTTTTGCATTCTTCTTATTTGTGTTTGTACATAATACTTACATGTTTGTATACAAGTGAGAAATCCTTTGGTATGCCCCTTAACTTTTATAGCTTCCATTGTCCTTCAACATTTAATCATTCTACTTCAGTCTATTATTTTCAGAAAAAAAAAAGTTTTTATAGTTAAATTTTCATTAATGGTTTAAGAAAATCTCGTCATGAAACTTGACCTAAGTTTCAAATACTTTGTTAAATGAGTAAAAGACGTGTTGCATTAGATTTACGGGTTCAAATCATGGTCGCCCCACGGACGTAGGATTGTCCTTCGAGTGTTGATGTGGACACTCACAGATATCCAATAGAATGCTTGCAAGTTTAAGAGTAAATGAGTTAAATTACAAGTTTAGTTTTAAACTCAAAATCGTCTCCTATATATATATATATATTATTTTTTTAGTACAACACGTTGGAGTAGGGGATTAACTCACAATCTTTTGGTTAGATATATTTTGATTTTAAAAAATGTTTAATAAATTCATGAACTTACAAAAATTTGTGTTGATGAATCATTTAAGAAATATTTTTAAAATTATAAAGAAATTAAAAAAAAAAACAAAATCTAGTTTCTAGTTATTCTCTTTTCAATTTTTTTCAAAACACAAATAAAAACATTACTATATTATTCCTGACTCATAAATGCATAATAAATAAACAAAGTAATAGTTACCCAAAATACTTATTACCATTTTAAATATGGTTTGCATTGGGACTTTAATAGAGTAAATAAAAAACAATTATGAACTCAAATTGATGGAATGGGAAAAGAGAGACACCTCCAGTGAGGCTTTAAGAGACCTTTGAAAAAAAAGGTTTTTGGATTCCATTTTTCTACACTAGACTCATCTTTAATTTGAAACTTTGAAATTGAATTGGGATTTCCTTTTCAATTATTTGAAGTTGGTATATATATATTTTTTTTTCTTTTTTAGGGAAATTTTTTTGAATTAGTCTAAATTGATTTGATTATGGCATATTTTGAATTATGTGTGTTGATTATTTAAATGTGATTGCTCACTGGTTAGGAATAGGCATATTCTCTTCACCCAATTATTGGAACAAATAATAAAAAAAAAAAGTAAATAAATTTGTTTACTAGACATTAATGGAAAAACAGAGAGGTTATTCATCAAGTCAAAAAGGAAGCTGCTCCAAAATTATCTATCAAACAAATAATTTTAATTAAATAACTTCAATATTTTAGAGCAACTTGATATTTCTATATATATATTATTTTTTTTAAACTAACCACAAACTCATACAAAACTTGCTAATTATATTTTTGTAAATAGATTCAATCCGCTTAAATGATAAAAACATCAATAAATGTATAAAAAATTTATATATATTTATTTAGTAGTACAAAATTAGTATTTATATTATTTACTAATTTAAATAGTTGTTCTTTTAGAAAATAATATTTTTATGAATAATTTGATGGAAAAAATTAAGAGTTAATTCTATTTTTGTTGGTTAACTATGTAATATATATCTTTTTTCTATTTTGGTCCTTAAATTTTAAAACAACCATTTTGAACTACTAACTTTCATACCGTCTATTTTAGTTTTTAAACTTAAAAAAATAGATTGGTCCTTGAATTTTTTTTTATTTTTTTTATCTAGCATGTGTTCATTCAATATTTGTCTTAACGAGTATAAATCACTCCAATAGTCAATAGATACATCAATATAAAAATTCATCTATTCGAAACTACATTATCTATTTGTTTAAATCAAAATAAAGATAAGGGTTAAAGTTTATATATTATTTTTCAGATTTTTAGGAACTAAAATAGATATTTTAAAAGTTTGACACAGAGGAAATAAGACTGAAAAATGTAGATATCAAAATGGAAGCATGGGAAGAGTTTTAATTCTCATACTTATCCTMAGAAAAATTAGGAAAACTTTTTCTCACATCATCAACTCCTACTTTATTTAAAATTTTAAATACTATTTTAATTTTTAAACTTAAATTCTCGACTTTGATTCATTTTGATCCCTATACACTCAAAACATCTATGTAATGTCAATTTTTATTTTTAAATAGAGGCCAAATTATTACTTTTAAAGAGTATAATAACCACGAAAAACGTTTTGAAATTACAAATACTAAAAGAACAAAAATTGAAAGCACAATAATCAAAATGAACCAAAATCAAAAGTAAAGGGATCAAAATAGTATTTAAACAGAAATTCTTCGTCCGCTTGGAGCATGGCCCCGCACGCACGCGACTTGACCCGATCGAACCCGGTGGACAACTTTTGTCTTTTCCTAACTTAAATAAAGTAAGTAATACAATAAACAAAAGTCTGATTATTATATCAAGTAGCCGTTGGCGCCTGTCTAGTTTCAAATTCAAAACCCTAATCTTCTGAAATCCCTCTTTTCTTTTTCTATGACTCCACTTCTCTTCCACAGCAAATCTCCAGATTCTCTCCCAAAATGCAGGCCATTCTCCATCCCCTGCCCGGAGCTCACGATCTCCCTCTAAGATCCGGCCGGCGGCCTCTCCAGCCGAAGAATTCCAATTCCCTGCCAACTCCTCTACCCGCCGTCGCCAAAATCAAGCCCGAACGCATCCAGATCTCGCTCTCCGGCGACGCCAACAAGGAGAACCTTCCGCCGATTCCAGCGACAGCGACGGCGACGATCGAGTCCTGTGATTCGTCACTTGCGGATGAGCTCAATGCGGTCAAGAGGAAGCTCGAGAGATTGAGATTGGACGGCGACAGGACGGAGAAGATGTTCAGAGAGAGGGATGCGATCTTCGAGTTGCAGATGAAGGAGCTGCTGAGGAGAGGTCAAGAGCAGAGGGAACTAGAGATGGAGGTCGATAGGTTATTCAGATTGAAGGAACTCAGATCTTACTGTATGGTAAGCATTTTCATCGCCAGTTGTTGGAAACTTAATCACTGTTAATCTGTTGTTCGTTTGCTTATTTTATTTTGGATGATTTGGATCAGAGAATTTCTCCGATTCGGAGTCTCAGAGAAAAAGAGCGAGAAAAGATCATCACCGATGCACAATTTCCGGTAAATTCCAAGCTCTAACTTCGAAGCAATTTCTCGATTTCTGAGATCCGGATTCATCCGCAATGTAAAATCAATCTCCAAATCTGTAATTGTTTCAGGAAATTGAAGTCGGCGATGGAGAAGAATCTGTTGGCGAGAATTCATCGCTGGATTCTTCAGAATTCGTCACAGGTATATGACGACGAATCGTTTCAGTTTTGTTCGCCGCTTTTGATTTTGCCCAACTTTCCGATTAATTTTCCTTCTAGTTCTGGTTCTTCATCTTCTTTGGAATTCTGCTAAAAGTGGCATTCAAAGGTCAAACAAAATTCAATGTAATACCTCATTATGTTCTTCTTTTGGTTGCTGGAACGGAAATCTTGAAGTGTAATCAACATCATTCTCCATCTTTTTCACTTCATTTATTGTCTGTAAATGAAGAAATTCCAAATCCGCATCTGTGGATTGAAGTTTAGACATTGATTCAATCTAAACAGATTAAAATTTTCTGATTTTGAATTTTAATTTTTCAAGTGTTCATAATAAAATCTATTAGGATCTAACCTTACTATTTAAGCATAGCTCAAGTGGAGCTATAGTTTAATTTTCTATGACAATTATTGAATTAGATATTTCTGATATATGATTGGAAAATTAATTAGTGTTATGAATATTTAAGAGTAAATAAATATACATATTGTTAATTGTGTTGATTTACCATTCGTTATTCTTAAACACCTTTTCTTTTCATTTAGGAGAATAGATGATGCAAACAAAGTCACTATTTTAATTAGGATAAAATGGTATATTTCAAACTTAAAGGAAAAGTCTTAAAAGCTATTATTTTGTTTTATTTTTGACAAAGACAAGTCCTTGTAAAATGTGATTCTCACGCAAAATAAATAAATAAACTCACTTTTCTTCTATTTTACTATTCTCACATTTAATTTAAATTGATGGTCATTATTTTCAAAAAAAAAAAAAAAAAATTATCATCATTTTAAGTGTTAGTTAAACAAATCAATAACTCTAGTATCACATCTCTTTATTATAATTTAAAAAGAATTCACATTACATAATATTAAAAATTTTATTCCAATTCTACAAAATTTATAAGTTTAATTCTTATTTTGATTTTTGAACTATCTAATTGATTGTATTTTGGTTCTTGAACTTAAAAAACACTCTGGTAATTTCTAAAATTTTGTAATGTCTTATTTAGCCTTTTAACTTAAAAAAGAAAAAATAAGTTTAGTCATTGCTATTACTCTCTGCCACCTAATAACGTCCTGACCAACCTATGTAGTTTAATATACGACTCTAATAAACAATGTTAATACATATTCTAGTCGTGTTATCCATCTATTAAGCAATTAACAATAAAGTAACGATAATAACAAAAAATGACAAATTTTCTTAATTCATATACTAAAATTAACCTTTAGAAAGTTTAGGAAACAAAATAGAACAAAAAAAAAAAACGTGTGGAGTAAAAGGTCTAAAATAGACGGATTGAAAGTTCAAGAAGAAATGCAAAATCTCAAGAATTCAATAACAAAAATCAAACTTATTTTTTATTTTAGTTTCACACAAATTTCTACTAAACATCATTAGCAAAGTAACATTTCTATTTCGATTGATTTTCATTATAATATTTTGTGATTTAGATTCCTCATTTGATGGAACCACAAACAAGTCATGATTTGGATGAATTTTCTATTACGTGTAAAATCATTACACCTAGGTCAGCTATGGAAGAAATCAAGTCGATTGTATAACTAGACCAAAAAGTAATACGAATAACTATCGACAAATTACTCAACTCGCAACATGTAAATAATGCCGTTAGAAGCTATACCTTTTCTAGAATAGCTTATAGCCTTAGCTTGACTGTGTTGAAGGAAGGGTCGAGATCAAGGCACTTACCTAACAAAGATCTCAGGTGTCGTTAGTTCGCCAAAAATTTTACGYAATTAACGAGATTAGCAGCAATAATATTTAAAAAAATAAAATGATTCAAACTGCTGAAACAACTATAGGTGACTCTCTCTATACATCAATAGAGATACCTCATATATGGTGCATGCTCTGACTTTCTCGAATGAGCTCATTCGTGACTTAGACCTAAATCGTGTATAAAAAATTTTCATTTTCCATAAGTAGCTAAGCATATTTGAGAACCGACATGAACTTGTCRAGCTTAAAGACTAAAAAGAAAARGGGAGATGCGAGCGACAAGTCGGCAGATTATGGTCCCCACACACGACGTCCTCGTTTCCTCAGCCAACTTGTGAAATTACCAAAAAGGACACCTCCGTACCCCTCCGTAAAATTCTCTCTCTTATTTTTCTCTGTTTTTAATTTTATTTATTTTTACAAATTTTGGAATTTGTTGAAAATGCCAAAGATTCCCACCATTTAGAAACCTGTGGAACTTTCCACATCCAGAATGACAATGATGCCCCTTGGCAAAATCTTTTTTCACTCCCAGCTCTAATATATATATATATATATATATATATATATATATATTTTAACTTTTTTCTTCCCACTACCAATTTTATAGAAGATAATAAGTATCTTATTAGTTAAATTATTCTCGAAACGAGAGTAAAAAATTAACTTAGATTTTTTTTTTTAAACACAAAACATAACTAGTATTTCTCAAAGAATGCCACTTGGGCTACACATCGAGAGATCTTTATTCTTAGTTACAATACTTAGATCGGATAGGGAAGTGGGTTGTCCACGACATAGACAAATTCCATTAATCGCTTGGTTTGCAAGCAAATCAACAACACCATTGTAATGTCTACAAACATGTAGAAAAGAGATGGTGGAAAATAGAGGTAAAAGCTCGTGGATAACTCTTATCAAATTTGTTGCTTCAGCATTTGTCTTTCTTAATCACTGYGATCGAAAGGATCCCTTGAAAACAGTCAAATTCTACCAAAATTTCATCTCTCCATAACAAAGAAATCTCTCCAACTTAGACTTTACTCATCACTGTTAAATACCCTCTAAAAATTAGCAAACTTTCATCTTGATTGACCTCTGTTATTTAGTCTCATGACAAAGATTAACTTAGATATTGGTTAGCCTTAATCTTAGTATTTTGATTGATTAATCTATATTAATATTTTTGTGTTCCATCTTAAAACCAATTCCAATGAGAAGAGTGACCTACTTATATTTTAAACTCAGTTATTTTATGATCTCACTAGACTTGTAGATATTCTACTATAGTTCYTTGATTTTGCTTAAAGTACTATTTTAGACTATGTTTAATAATTCTTTGAACTATTTAAYAAAAGCGTATCTTTGGTTTATTTACACTAGATATCTCGAATAAGTATTCAACTCCCTTTAATGATTAATGAAGAAGTAACGACCTTGACCAAATAATTTTTTTTATATAAATTTTAAGAGAGTAAAATAAAATATTACAATTCTACATGTCCTTTTACATTAGCAACCTATAGCTCTACAATTTTCAACATTATAAATTATACTCATTTGTTAATTGAAGAGTAAAATTAAATGAAAGTATAGTAGGATTTACAAATTCTATAAAGGTTAAACAAATACTTTTGGTTCCTCTCTTGAAAAAAAAGAAAAAAACAAAACTTTTGCTTCCGTTTAGATTTCTACTTTATTAAATAACAATTTAATCCATAAACTTTAGTTTACTCTCAATTTTACAACAAGCTAAGTCTTTCAAATTTACAACAATTAAGTTTATAAACTTTAATAGGTATGTATGTGTGTAAACTAACGAAGTATCAAATATATTAATAAATTACAGATACTAAATTGTTACCTAATAAAAGTTGACACTTAATTTTTATGAAATTTTTCGTGGCAAGGACTATTTGTTACACCCTACTCTCTATACTAGAACTCCATATCCATCGACTCTCCTTGCTAACTTAGACATCGGAGCTCATATGACTGAAGTCACATCGGTTTAGGTTTGATTGGTTTGGCAGGTTTTTGTCCCCTGCTTATCAAGTTTGGTGCAAACCTCATAAGGAATCGGGAGAGCAAAATTCACGCATCAACGTAKGATTTATATATCCCATACAACTTAAATAAACCTTATTTTTTTAGTACCATTCAAACAAAGATTATATAAACTCAAACCTATATAGGCCTATTTGAGATAAAAAGTTTTTTTTTTTGTTTTTTTTTTTAAATTCCAAATGTGAAGTAAATCTTTGTATCTTATTGATAAAACTAAAATAAAAAAGATCCTGTATTTTTTTTTTTCCTTCTTTCGAAATAACTTAAGAATTAAATGAATTTTTTATCATAAAAAGTTCGCTTATATTTTTTCTTCATCAAGTATTACCATGTGGTTTTTTTTGTTTTATATTTTATTTGGTGAGATCTTTTAAGAGAGAAACAATGCAATTAATGTATAGAATCAAAGACATTTATATTTGATGTGAAATTATGGCAATGATAGCACTAAAATTACCTTAACTACTAAGTTTGTAACACTTTTCTTTTTGACAAAAAAAAAATATGTAAATCTAATTAATTGAGATTAAAGTAAATACAAGTTCATATATATATACAAATATACATATAGTGAATTTTAAAAGTAACTGCCATGAATTGTGGTCGTTAAGAAATTGGGAAATTACATTGTTACACGTTTATAATGAGCACATTTTTTTTTTATTAAGGTTGGTTTTATTTTGATTTCTAAATGTCTATTTTAGTCTTTAATTTTTTTCTTAAAGAATAACTAATTTGATCCCCAACTTTCGAAAGGTCTATTTTAATCCTTAAACTTTCCAAAAGTAATTATTTTGTTACCTATTATTCTTCTACCTAGTACTTTTTTTTTCTTTTGTTTTTTAGTACAACATGTAAAAGTGGAGGATCGAATTCATAACCTCTTGGTTGGAGATACATTTTGTCACCTATTATTCTTCTACCGTTGAGCTATGCTTTCTATTTTTTTATTTTATAGATCTTCTACCTAATACTTGTCTCCAACATATTTGGTTTAAATACATGCTCGCATTAATATATTTAATTTACATACTTGAAACTATGTTATTTAATCTGTTAAACGTAGAGAAAGGTAAGGACTAAAATGATTACTTTTCTTAACTGTGAACTAAAATAAACATTTTGGAAAGTTAAAAAGGCAAAAATAGAACATAACTTTATAGTGTTCACATGCTAAAATGAGATTTAAACTTTACTTCAATTTTTTTGTTATTATTTATCAAATTTTTAATAAAAGTTTAAATTCATTTCAAAATTTGATGTGACTTTATTATACTATGTGACTTCAAATACTTGAGAAATTACTATTCCATATATTCTAACATCATTAACAAATAATTGAAGGTTTAAATTCCCTATTGAAAAAAGAAATTAAAAAAACAAATGTTGTCCATGTAAATATCTACTCATAGAATGTCTGAATCCTTATCTTCTTCGTATTGGCAATAATTATATCTCATGTTTCCATTAAAGAATTTTTTTTTAAATGGCAATAAAGATAATTGGTTGAAAAATATATTCCTTTTAATTTAAAGTATTGATAATATGTTTCAAAATTTAGAACACAAAGAAATTGAAGACAAACCAAAGGGAGGATGAGGCATGTACGTAGTGTCTTTTGTTTATCATAAAACTACAAGTTTCATTAATCTTACAAATTAAAAAAAAAAAATTAATGTGACAATCTGAGTATAATTTAACTGGTTGAGACACTTATCTCTAATAAAAAAATGATGAGTTCGAATTTCCATCCACACATGTTGTACTAAAAAAGAAATAAAGTATTTTAAGTCCACAGACTAAATGGATGGAACACAAAAAAATTCTTCAAATGATTTGTCATAAATTTTTTAAAGTGTAGAGACTAAATAGACAAAATTCTAAAAGTTCAATAACCAAATTTATAATTTAATCCAAATACAATGTTAAAGAACGTTTTTTTTTTTAAATTTTTGGCTACATTAGATGGTTTAATTCATCTTGAAATAGGTAAAACTTTATCGCTGATTGTAGAACCTGACTTACTTTAAGTCATTCGCCTCTTGAATCAACTAGACATGTTAACGCCAACATGAACATAACTCAACCGTAATTAATATGTACTTCTTTTCTTGAGGTTAGAGGTTCGACCATAAATTGTTGTACTAAAGGAAAAAATACTAGACATGCTAGCGTGCCTCCGAGCAAGAATGTGAAGGCTTTCACCCACATTCGTAGAGATACCAATAATTTTGTGCATTATTTGGAAACTTGGAGCCCTCATTGATCTGTTTGGCTTGAAAATAGGATATTTATCGAGTTGTAGTCTTGTTTATTTAATGCCTTTTTCAGAAAAAGAAGTTTGAAATGAAGTGTTTTATATGTTTTTAAAGTTTCAATTTAACCTTTGATAGATTTTTTAACATTAAAAAGTGTCTACTAACCTACTAAACTTTCAATTACGAGTCAAATAAGTTTTTAAACTCTAAAAATATCTAAAAATTGTATTATAACTGGTTAAATTATAAATTTGATTCCTAAATTTTTAGGACCGTGTCTAATAGGTTTTTGAATTTTAGGGAACATCTCATAGGTCTCTAATTTGTCGATATTGTATCTAATATGTCTCTACAATTCAAAAAATGTATAATAGGTATCTAAATTTTCAATTATGTATCTAACTTATATAGAAATCCATCAATTCTCATCATAACAAAATTTTATATCTCGAACCAAGTATGTATGTATGTATCTATCTATATCTCTCTATATATATATAAAACTGTCTTTCAATTCCCTTCCTCTCCTTGAGCTCGAAAACCTAGCGGAAGATGAATAGAAGCTTACTTATGGGTCTCAATGAAGAAAGATCTTTTTGACATCAAGTTGATGGAGTGACGAATGCCTATTAGCTACAACTTAAAAATAACTAGTATGAATTTTTACTTTTATTTTTTTAGTTTAGTCATAGGAGCAAACATCTCAAGATAATCGATGCCATGTGTTTATGTCTAAAAAATGTCAAACTTATTAGAAAGTTTTTGGCGAACACTTTTTAAAGTTTAAGAAAGGAACCTATTAAACTTTTTGTAAAATTCAATCACTAGGTACTAGTCGTTTTGAACATAACTTAGTAAATAAGGTTGATGATTTGGTATCCTACTTTATTTTGGAAGGTCAATTTGAACATAATTCTACTAAGTATTTATATCAAATCAGAAGAGTGTGAGTTTGAATCTCCACTCCCGTATAATGCAGTTGTTTTAAAGTTGGAGAAGAGGGAAAGAGGAAGGAAGATGGGGAACGCTCGCAAGAAGAGAGACAGGCAAAAGGGGGATGAAACGGTGCCGTATTGAGCGAGCGAGCGAGCGATGGATCGAACGAAAGCAGGCAAATTGGGAATTGGGAAAATTGCAATTGCAATTGCAAAGCTTCGATTTTGAATTGGTGGTTTTCCGATTCTCTCTCTCTGTCTCTCTCTCTCTACGATTTCCTCGGTTTTAGCATCTCTCTCTCTCTCCAATTCATTCCTTCCACCTCCTTCTCTCTCCTCCGCCATACCCATTACCCATTTCAATCCTCTTCCTCTTCTTCCTTTTTCTATTCTTATCCCCCACCCCCTTAATCCCTTAATTTATCCTTTTTCTGGGTCGTATTTGATCTWCCCGCCTCCGATTCATCTCCGGAGACTACATTTTCAGGTGGGAGATCCCCCGATCCGCGTTTATACCCCCATTCTTCTTCTTCTTCTTCTTCCTCTTCCCTTCTCTCACTTCTCTGCCATTTGCACTATGATTTCGTATTCAGTGCATTGAAGGGGCCTCTGATCTCTCTGCTCCTATACTTCGTTTCATCAATTCCGAGGAGATAAGCCTTCTCTTTCATCTGGTACCTACCCTCTGCCTTCTCTCTTTAATTCTTTCTTCTTCTTTTTAACATTATTTTACGTTTTTCTTTCTTGGGTTTTTTTCCAATTTTTTGTGATGATTGCATATCTGAGTCTGATTCGATTGGTGGGTTCTTTTTATTTTTTGATTTTTAATTTTGGGTTGGGGTTCTTTTTTGTTTTTCAGGTCTAGGGTTATTAATTCGAGTTTGTCTCATTTGCTCTCTAGTTTTTGGCATTGCGTGCTTGGGGAATCGTAGGGCGTTGTTGTTATTTGGATCCACGAGAGGGAGTTGTCAATACTCCGTCGAATCGAGCTGTTTGTGCATCATTGATTCCCCTCCCGACCTGATTTCTGTCTTGAAGGCTGGTCTCTGATCTGTTTTTTCTTGCGTGTAAGTTTGTCACTTCTCTTGTCAATTGAAAACGGTGTCCGAGGAGAAGACAGAAGCCTGAATGTGTTGATATTGCTAAGCCCTCCCACATTATATTTCACTGTCTTCACTTCCAGGCAGAGATATCTCTCGTCGAACCCTTCAACGTTTCTTTATTCTTCTAGTCGTGCTGATCTTTGGTAGCAAAGTTGTGGACGCTGTTCAGCGGGAATTCATTGCTGGGTAGTGCAACTGGGTTTTCACTAAGAATATGGATTTAGGAGGATGAAGGGCGGCTTCTTGGTAAAATGGAGCTCGAGTTCTTCTGGTTCTCTGTGTTTTTCTTGGATGGACTTGGGATGAGGGGTTTAATGTCTACTCGGGCTTCCTTTGATTTGCATGTGAGACTCTCTAATGAAGTCGAAGAATAATTTATGACTTCTGGTCAGCCCTTGCTGGCTTCATCAGAATCTACATCAGTCGTTGGACACCGATCCCCATCTCAAAAATTTGGTTCCGTTGGTTGTCTATGTCGCAGTGCTTCCTTCACCTCTTCCGGTTATGATGATGCTCCGAGTGACATTGTGGATGTGAAGGAAAACTGTGATAGCCCTACTGGAGATATTAGACGTTCCACTTCTCTTTCTAGGAATAAGCAGTTTTATAGTGTTGGCTCATTGTTTCCCGAGCAGTTTAATTTTGGCTACCCCACCCAGGATAGAAGACGCCTGGTATCGTGGGGTGCAATGGAGCTACATAATATTAATGAAGATCCTGTGAACTTTGAACTCTCTAGGGTTCAGGAGAAGTTGCAGCATAGGGCACAGAGAAGTCGTCATAAAAGTATGCAGTTTGATGATAATTTACAGCATGACGATAATCCAAGGTTGATTTACATCAATGATCCAAGGAGAACTAATGACAAGTATGAGTTCACAGGAAATGAGATAACGACTAGCAAGTACACAGTGATTACGTTCTTGCCAAAGAACCTCTTTATTCAGTTCCATCGTGTTGCCTATCTTTATTTTCTTGCTATTGCAGCTCTTAACCAGCTTCCACCTTTGGCAGTCTTTGGGAGAACTGTATCTCTTTTTCCCCTCCTGTTTGTGCTTTGTGTTACAGCTATTAAGGATGGCTATGAGGATTGGCGTAGACACAGATCAGATCGCAATGAGAACAATAAACAGGCTCTGGTGCTTCAATCTGATGAATTCGAGTTGAAGGTGTGGAAAAAAATACGAGCAGGTGAAGTTGTGAAGATTTGTGCAGATGAGGCCATTCCTTGTGACATGGTTTTATTGGGGACAAGTGATCCTAGTGGCCTTGCTTACATCCAAACGATGAATTTGGATGGTGAGTCCAACTTGAAGACAAGGTTTGCTAGGCAGGAAACAGCATCAGCAGTAGCTGAGGGGTGTTCATTTTCAGGTCTTATTCGATGTGAACAACCTAATAGGAATATTTATGAGTTCACTGCCAACATGGAGTTCAACGGCCATAAATTTCCCCTCAGCCAGTCAAACATAGTCTTGCGTGGTTGTCAGCTGAAGAACACTGAATGGATCATTGGGGTGGTTGTATATGCTGGACAAGAGACAAAAGCCATGTTAAATAGTGCAGTATCTCCTGCCAAGCGAAGTAAACTGGAGAGTTACATGAACAGGGAAACATTGTGGTTGTCAATCTTCCTCTTTATCATGTGTCTAGTTGTGGCTATTGGAATGGGCTCATGGCTTGTTCGTCACGAGGAACAGCTTGATACCTTGCCATACTATAGGAAAAGGTATCTCACAAATGGACCGGATAATGGTAAGAGGTACAGGTTTTATGGAATACCGATGGAGACCTTTTTCTCCTTTTTGAGTTCTATTATAGTGTTTCAGATCATGATACCAATATCCCTTTATATTACAATGGAGATGGTGAGACTGGGCCAGTCATATTTCATGATTGAAGATAAGCACATGTACTGCAGAATGTCCGGCTCAAGGTTCCAGTGCAGATCACTGAATATCAATGAGGATCTTGGTCAAGTTCGCTACGTATTTTCTGATAAAACAGGAACACTTACTGAAAATAAAATGGAATTTAGAAGAGCGAGTGTACATGGGAAGAATTATGGGGACAACTTGTCTGAGGGATATTCATCAATGTTATATTCCATTCCAGGTACAGAAAATGAATTCAACGCTATCATAATCATCATAATTTTAATCTATGTTTGTGTCAGCTCATGATGATAACTTCTGCTAGCCAATGCAGTTGCCATTTGTTTCTGTTTATGTGACTTCTTTGCATATTATCTAAGCTTGGTGGTTGGAAATGTATCAAATATTATTGTTGTTGCTGTTATTATCATTATTACTATATTTTGCAAGACATGCTAACTGGGTATACTACTTCTCTCTTATCATTATATTTATACTCTGATTGTTCTCTATTTTTTTGTTGTTCTGTCATTTTTTTTCCTAAGGGAAATCTGTATACATGATAATTATTGAGCTTACATTTGTGAAAGGTAGTCTCTTAAAGTGGTTATATTTACCAATAAATATTAGTTGAACTCATGAATTGAACATATGCTGTCTGGGTAATTTATTTATACTTTGGCATAAAAGTTAGAAGATTGTCTGGTTAAATCCTCAGTCATCAACTGGAAGGGCCATTTTTTGATTGTCGGTGGTCTCAGAAAATTTTCCATTTTTACCAACTATCAACTATGATAATTCCGGTTGAGTTATGGTATATGGAATATCTAGTCTTCAGAGTTTAAAAGGTGGTGGGTTGGCACATGAGTTCCAAAACTAACTAGATTTAAGTTTACTTGCATTTCTTCTGACAATAAAATTAGGTCTAATTTGTGGTGTCAGTATGATCTCCATTAGATGGCCAGCCTATACCCTATGTTCTTCCTCAAGTATTAAAGACCTTCTGTTAGGTGAAATTCTGAGATTGTATTATGTGTTTTCTTCTTTTTTCCTTCATCTATTGTGATCTTTTGCAACAGCAGTTCTAGGGAGGAGGAGGTGGAGACTTAAATCTGATGTTGCTGTTGACTCCGAACTGATGAAAATGTTGCACAAGGACCTAAATGGAGATGAAAAGATTGCTGCACATGAATTTTTTCTTACATTGGCTGCATGCAATACTGTAATTCCTATTCTCGTGGATGATAAATCTAGTTATGTGAATGGTGAATTGCATGAGGATGTCGAAACTATTGATTATCAGGGGGAATCCCCTGACGAGCAAGCACTAGTTGCTGCAGCCTCTGCTTACGGATATACTCTTTTTGAGCGCACATCCGGGCATATTGTTATAGATGTCAATGGTGAGAACTTAAGGTAGATAATCTATTTCTTTCTATTTTTCATTTTTTAGCTTGTCTAGTAATTCTCCATTCCTGCTTGTTTTCGTGTTTCAAACATTTTTTTATATTGTTTTATACAATATTACATTCTGCCTTTTTTTCCCCTGGATTCTAGGTTAGATGTTTTGGGTTTACATGAGTTCGATAGTGTTCGCAAAAGAATGTCTGTTGTCATCAGATTCCCCAACAACACTATAAAGGTGCTGGTGAAAGGGGCCGATACTTCAATGTTGAATGTTTTAGGCCTTGAATCTGAGAGGGAAGAACTTATCAAGAATGCTACACAGAACCATTTGCGTGAATATTCATTGGAAGGTTTGCGAACACTTGTAGTTGCTGCCAGGGATCTGACAGATTCTGAATTTGAGCTGTGGCAGAGCAGATATGAGGATGCTAGTACTTCACTGACTGAAAGAGCGGTAAAACTACGTCAGACAGCTGCCCTCATAGAAACTAATTTAAAGCTTCTGGGTGCTACTGCGATTGAGGATAAACTTCAAGATGGTGTACCTGAAGCCATTGAATCTCTTCGGCAGGCAGGAATAAAGGTTTGGATCCTGACTGGAGATAAGCAGGAGACAGCTATATCAATCGGTCTTTCCTGCAAACTGCTGACCACAGATATGCAGTCAATTATTATCAATGGCAACTCCGAGAATGATTGCAGGCAACTTTTAGCCGATGCTATAGAAAAATATGGTATTAGATCAACACAGGACATATGTCAAAAACAGAAGCTGAAGAGTTGTGAGAATGACAGTCACGATATACCAAAGCCATCTAGTATGACAGATTTTAATGATGAGGAGATAGAAGAAGAAATGACTAATAAACCACTAGCTCTAATAATTGATGGAAATAGCTTGGTGTACATTTTGGAGAAGGAATTGGAGTCAGAGGCAAGAATCTTGTTGTTACCTTTGAGAACCTTTACGTTGCAGCAACATTAATATTCTTCTAATACTTGGCGACTTGTTAATGACTGTTAGAATGACTCCTATTTTCTGGCAGCTTTTTGACCTCGCAACTTCATGCAATGTTGTGCTATGCTGTCGTGTTGCACCCCTGCAGAAAGCTGGAATTGTTGATTTGATCAAGAGTCGAACTGATGATATGACATTGGCAATAGGAGATGGTAAGTTTTCTTTTCTAACTCCCTAAATATCGTTGAATATGCCCCTTTGAGACCACTACGTGGTGAGAACTTACCAACTATAACCGACCAGCTTTATGAATGAATTACTCTCAATTCAGTTTATTGATGCATCTGTTCACTGTCCAATGACAATTCTTCTAGGGGCCAATGACGTCTCAATGATTCAGATGGCCGATGTAGGTGTTGGTATATGTGGACAGGAAGGGCGCCAAGCAGTAATGGCATCTGATTTTGCCATGGGACAATTTCGCTTTTTAAAAAGATTACTTCTAGTGCATGGACACTGGAACTATCAACGTGTTGGCTACATGGTTCTTTACAACTTCTACCGTAACGCTGTTTTCGTCTTGATGCTCTTCTGGTATGATAAGTGTCTTTTTGTATTCCTGCATTCCATGCCAACGCACCGAATTACTTTTAGTGTTTCCTTGAAATGCTAAAAGCGATCTGATGATCTTAGAGAGTAAAATACTTCAAAATGGAAAACGTAATTTGTGCTGTCAATAGAAAGTTGATCAACTATTTTATGCATTTTCTATGCTAGTTTATGAATGAATTACATCTTCTTGAAAACATGACACCCACTCTTATGATGGTAATATTTTGTTTTGTGGTCGCCCCTTTCTCCAGTCTTTATAATCCATGCTCTGAAACATCATATCTTCTGTTGGTGAAGCTTATGCTTTAGCTAATGTGTGTGTGTGTGTGTTTTTTTTTTGTGGTATTTATTAGGTACATTCTGTGCACAGCATTTTCCACAACATCAGCTTTGACTGATTGGAGTAGTGTGTTTTACTCTGTTATCTATACGTCCATCCCTACTATTTTTGTTGGTATCCTAGACAAAGATTTGAGTCACAAAACTCTAATACAATATCCAAAGCTTTATGGTGCTGGCTATAGACAGGAGGCATACAATTTGCGTCTCTTTTGGTTGACAATGATTGATACCCTGTGGCAGAGTCTTGTTCTCTTCTATGTACCATTGTTCATTTACAAGGACAGTTCCATTGATATATGGAGCTTGGGAAGTTTGTGGACCATAGCAGTTGTTATCCTTGTGAATGTACACTTGGCAATGGATGTTCAACGTTGGGTCTATATTACCCATGTTGCAGTCTGGGGATCCATAGTCATAACATATGCCTGCATGGTGGTGTTGGACTCCATACCTTCATTTCCTAATTACTGGTTGGTTTCCTGCAACAAATCTTGATTCTCCCATGTTAAATTACTAGATGTTTAATCTCGAACTTTAAAGATTATGTCTATAGGTTCTAGTACTTTAAAAATTGTCTAATGGGTCTCTAAAGTTTTCAGTTCTATATCTAATAGGTGTCTATAACTTTATAGACTTAAAAACCTATTAGACTTGAAATTGAAAGTTTAGGAGACCTATTGCTATTAAACATTTTTTAGAGTTCGGGAACCTGTTAGACACAACTTCGAAATGGTAGGATTAAACTTAATTTAAGCTATTTACATGCTGCAAACAGGAGTTCATCTAGTGCAATTACTTGCATAAGTTAATATTTTTTTGTTGTTTTGCAGGACGATCTTTCATTTGGCGAAGTCCCCAACCTATTGGTTGACTATATTCCTCATAATAGTTGTAGGATTGCTTCCACGCTACCTTTTTAAAGTTGTGAACCAACGATTTTGGCCCTCAGATATTCAGATAGCCAGGGAAGCTGAGATACTGAGGAAACGAAAAGGTCGTGATCATTCGGGTTCAAAGCGAGATCGAGATCGAGATTCCAATTAACACATGTCTACTCTGTGTACCATCGTTGTGAGCAAAACTCATTTGCAGATGGCTTCCCCTGTGGTGGTAACATGCGTGATTGTAACTCTGAAGGTTAGACATGCCAAGTGATGCATTTGTCCTTGGATATAGATGAATTCTTTTAGTTAATTATACTTTTGAGGATAGATATCCACTGGAGGCTTAAGGCACTTTAGAAGGGGTCGTATGATACAAATTTTTCGATTAGTCCTCAGACACGACTGGCATCGTAAAGAAGAGTTTATGAGAGTTGGGTCACAGAGTTTGAAGTCAGGTGCGATATGAAGATGGGAGAAGACGGAATGCCCCACCAAATGATGTCTCTTTGGTTGGGGTGATTATTCGAAAGGATGCAAAATCTGTGTCCAAATAGGAGGGATCTCGAGTCGTAAAATTTATGTTTTATTTTTGGCAGGAAGAAATGGATGGAGGAGGAGGATGGATTAATGCAGAGAATTGTCTGAAACTGTATCATATGATATTAGGGTGCTGAGGTAAAAAAAACCTACACAGTTTGAAAGAGAAAGGAGAGATTGAAGTAAAGTATATAATAGGGGGGTTTTTTCTTTTTTCCTTTCCCTTTTTTTTAACCCTTGTAAAAATTTGAGAACTTTTTACTCATCAACATAAGGAATGAGGCAAGTGTGTGAAAATACAACACTTACATACAACCTTTGCAATATGTTCATCTGCATTGTAACCATTTTAGCAGCTGTAAGCCATCAAATGAAAAAAAATAGACATGAAAGTGTTGGAATCTTCATTCTTCCATCTGTTTTCAGCTATTTTGAGTCTTCCTAATGATGAAACTTGTGGATTTGGAATGGAAGCTTTGAAGATGGCAGTTGCTGCAATGTAAAGCTTTTCCCTCTCTGAAATGATATTATAAAGCCATTTGTAAGGCATGCCAATCATATTATGTTTCTGACAGTTGGCTATGGTGTTAGTGTTACTATGGCTACAAAATTAGCCACATTTGATTTAGGTTCGAGTAGGGGCTATGTCCTATAATGTCTTTTCAGTGTTCAGATGATAACTCATCTGAGTAAAGTGACTTCTAGTCTCAACTAATTGGTAGACTAATTGGGTTATAACTTATCTCACCTGAATTGGATTACTAAGTATGGGAATTCACGTAGTCATTTTTGCAACCTTTACTAGCATGCTACCACTTATACTATTTCTTATTTTCACCCATAACATATAGATTACATTGTCCTACGTTCTACCATGTTTCCACTATTGAAGTATGATAAAATACCGATATGGCTTGTGATAGTTTGTTGTTCCAATAAAGTTATGTTATGGAGCTATGCTTCCCATTATATAGGTATGTATCTATTGTGAATTTTAAAGAAAAATTTAGCTAGTAATTGTATAACGTTTGATGTACAAGAGAAATTACAAAAGATATTTTTATTTGTACCAAATGGTTATCAGAACTCAGAAGACCATATAGATTTTGGATCTACTTCCAAGCACATTGTGTAATCTTCATTCAATTATTTTTGGATGTTTATCTTTTGTTTTGCGATACAGATATTAAATATCATAAAATTAAAGGTATGAAATATTACAACTCACATCTTATGCTGTATGTTTTTATTAATCTCAAAATTCGTAAGTAGACATAAGTTTCTTACGTTCCAAATATAAACTATCTAAACTCAAAGTTCTCAAAATCCCTGAACTAGATGCACTCCATGAACATTGACACAAAAATGCATTCCAAGCTTACAGAATACCTTCCATCTTCATTCGAGCTGTTATTTATAATTTCTAAATTTGGGTAAGTAACAATTTAATCCCTATCGTGGAACGACGAATCACCTAGATTAAAATTACCTTACCACTGTTGCCAAGGAGAAAGAGGGTACTAGGCAACGCAATGCAGAATTTCCAGTCCACTACTATGCATAACTAGACTCGTAGGAAAACCAAAGAGCTACTTGGGATTGATGGATATAGCTTCTATTTCTTCCCATTATCTTCTCCAACCTCGTCAAATCGTCAGCACAAGTATAAAACTTAAGGACCCATCCTCCAAAGAGGGAAGAAACCCAACGAATGACGGATGCAAAAATATGTCATTCGTAATTATTCAACACTACGTTGCCACGAATTCACAAACTGATCCTAAGAGAGAAGTTTCTCTAGTTCATACTAAATAATCCTGAGAAAATGTTAGTATATCATTAGATGAGAGAGAGACAAAACTAGGATACGACTTCAAATCATATGATGAATCTCTCTGAACAGTTCAACAACTATTTTATTTTAGTACAATTGGTGCCGGACAAGATTGAAAAGCATTCAAATTACTTGACTGTGTTCCAACGATTTGGCCGCAGCTCTTCCACTCAAATTGCTCCAGCTTCAGTCCACAGTGTAATTTTTTGGCTCCTTCACATTATAGTCGACATCCAGTAAAAAGAAAAAAAAAAAAAAAGAACAAACTCAACCAATAACTAAAACTAAGACCATTTCTTTGATTCTCTTAAACCAGCTCGAGTTTTCCTGGCTATCCTACCAACAAACTGAATCATAATCCAAAATTTCACCCAACTTCATAACCTACATTTCCTTGGAGAACAAACTCTTAAAAAAATAGCAACATACCAGTGCCCCCCCACGGATCGTTTTAACTGAACTGGCAAACTATTCTCTTTCGACGCACTAATTCCGATCCCCCAAGGATCCTGCAAGTGAAAATCAAAATTCAGCCAGTACAGAAAGATTACACTGCAAAAAGATGCAGGGACTTTATCTACGTATGCACATGCATAAAAAGTAGTTCACCTGACTACTAGTTTTCATTCTGCAGAGAAGTCTTTTTCTTTTTTGTGGCGAGCGTCCAGCACCATCCTATAGACATATAATGAGACCATTGTTGCACTGTACAAAAAAGAAAAGTCTCAGCCAGCAAACCCTTCAATGTGGATACAGCAAAAAAGTCTGGCTAATCAATGCATTCTACAATAATAGATGAGTGAAGAGAAAAAATCTAAATGGGCAGAGGACTGTGAAATCATATTTATGGAACAAGACCGCTAATAAGATTGGTTTGGGGAAAAAAACTCATCAAAAGGGGAGAAAACAGAAAAGAAAAGGTGTAAAAAGAAAAGTATACATTTGATCTATTAATAGAACTAAAAGTATTAATGAACCTAACTGCCACAGGTCAAGTTCTTTGGTGCTGAATAAATATAAATGAAGAGCTTAACCTTAGGATTTTACAATACAAGCTAAGATCAAACAGACGAACATAATTTTCCAGCCAAAAATGGCAGCGTAAACTCACAAAATAGATGAAAGTTACAATAGCAATAAAGTACTTTCAGTCTGTCCATCCAGCAGAAGCAATAATGAACGTGAGAAGAAAGAGGCGAGGAAAGATATAAACCTGATCAAGGTTGTTAAAAGATTTACAATTGATGGTCTCTGCATGCAGAAAGAGAGAGAATAAGAAACAAAACAAAAACAAAGTGTCAGAAAAGAGTTCAAATTCTGTCAGTTCAAGAACAACATTCACCACGTAAACATCATGTTTAGTTAGTATCTAGAGTTCTCACCTGAAACACCAAGCGCAACTCTCTAAGAAATAGAATACTTGCAATCGCTGTTACACAAAAATCTTGAAACAGTTACAAATTCCTTCTGAAAAAGGAAAGAAAGGAGAATTGGAAGACTGATCAAATGACTTAAGGCTGAACGACTACAAGAAATGCGACTAAAAAAATGTGTGTGAATTGCAATTATTGAGGTGAACCAATGACATCAATGACTTAAGACTGGAAGACTGATCAAGGGACTTAAGGCTAGATGACAGAACAATTCATTACAGTTCATGAAGCAGTGAATAAGCTGTACATTTCACAAGTAGAGATATGGTAGCTAAAGATGTAGGTAGAACATGAAGCATGTGACATTGACCACGACAAGACAAAAGGAGAAATACCTGCCAATTAAGAATTTTTAAACAAACTTGAATGCTGTATAATTAAATACCAAAATGGCTACTCAACTAAATAACTCAATGAGTGACGATCATTTGTGTTTCATATATTAAGCTATTGAATTATTGGCAGACTGACCTGCTTGCCCCTTCAGGCCGAGAGGAAATGATTGTCCTCTTTTATATGACCGCAAGCTCAAAATACTCAAGGCCAACAAAGCACCACCAAGTATCACACCAAATCTAATTGCAGCAAGGCTTCCTGTTATCATGAAGGAAAGGAAACCACCAAGAGAAAGGACCAGTCCTGTAGACGATTAGCAATACAAGTCAGCAAGAGATTTATAAGCCCACAGGACTGGACTATATAAACTGAAGAACAATATAGTCATAGATAGAATGTTGAAAAGACAATGTTGCAAATTGCAATACACACAGCTACTACAATTATCTTATCCGAAGKTTTCTATCCCTCTAAATTAGAGATTTTACTTGGATAAGCTACTCAAGTAGAAGCTGAAATAAATGGTAGTACAAAAGCAAAGCTAACCTACTCCATTTATACATAACATAAAGTTTGATAATACATACCATATGGTATCCCAAAATAGAAGTCTTGAACTTTTGAAATTTCACGTAAGTCATCCGTTGGAGAAGTAAATGTTACCACGATCTCCTTAACTTCTTCAGGATAATTCTCTGCTACTGTGGCAATATATTCTTTACCTTCTTCACTTAATTCATGCACTACTAAAACCAAATCTTCCCTTGCCTTTTCTGCTTGGATTTTCAAAATCTTTGAAGTTTCATTCAGAGAAACAAGTGCTTTCTCAGAGTATTCCTCATATGCATCCTTCGAAATGCTTTTCATCTTCAGAGCTTGTTCTTTGAAGGTATTTAAAGCTTTTTTCCATAACTCTTGTACTTTCTCCGCATCAAAATCGAAATCTTTTTTTTCTTTCTCTGCTTCACTTTCTGAATGCTAACAATGCAATTGAGAAAAGAAAAGGAAATATCAATCTACATTCAATGCATATGATCAACTACACGACCATATATATTCACTAACCAAGAGCAAAACTAAAATAACCTAGTCATTGTCAAAAAATCAGTTAGGCTATATATATTCTTTTTTTTTTAGAAACCTAAGATAGATATATTATAGACAAAAACCAAAACAGACTGAGGGCTGGGGGTTCTGAACTGCCATGAAACGATAAATGATGGCTTTTCAGTTGTTTACAAACATGGAAAAGCGGTAATTACAAAATAATTTCCTTTTATTGAGTCACCACCAAGAAGAGGTGTTGTGCTGTACATTCCTACAAAAAATGTCAAAAGTATGAGCCTTGTCTTAAAAAATGCGCTCATTCCTTTCTAACCAAATATGCCAAAGAAGAGCTCTCACTACACAACAGAGGGATTTAACTTTCCTCGATAAGAAACAACCCGAAAAAGCCTCAGATAACCACCTGTCGATATGTCTAGGAGCACAAATGGAGATGCCAAAAATATCCAGCAAGAAATACCAACCTTGGCCACAAAGGGGCAGTGTATAAAAAGATGATCTAAGGATTCTCCATCTCTATTGCACATACTACAAACCGAGGGAGGTATGGTCCAGTTTTTGCATTTCTTTTGGAGATAATCCTGGGTATTTAAACTTCTATAAACCAGCGACCATAGGAAAACCTTAACTTTCTTGGGAATTTCAAAATTCCATATGGCAGCAATTAGGGAAGACTTCAAAGAAAGGGGAGCATCTGAAAGTTTTAATAAGGCAGACTTTGAAGAGAAAGCTCCCCCTTTTCCTAAACACCAGTAGACCTTGTCTTCTCCTTCTCCCAGGCGAACCACATCTAATACTCAAATGAGGCCCAACCAGCTTTCCATTTCCCTGTCAAAAAGACCCCTGCGAAGGCCTAAATCCCAATAATGAAAATCTTGATTTACCATGCTTGAACTTTTGTGTGCATTATTACCATCATTAAGAATAAGTTGTGGCTAAACAACCCTAAGAGCTAAAAATCTTGAGTGCCACAAATTCAATAATTATTCAACGAGCCGGGACAATGCAGACCTGGCTCAATCACCTACGGCATGACATACATATTAAATAATCAAAATAGATACCAATTTCTTAAACTCCAAATGGCCAATAGTGTACTCCAGAATACATGTATCAATTACTAATCACGAACACCATCACCCTACCCACATTCTCTCTTAATCCCAACCAGCATTATTCAATCAACAGAAGCTAATAAAAACAAGAACAAGAGATGGAATTCAACGGCAGGACAGAAGAGAGAAACAACCATACCGATTCCTCATGCGAGGCAGCAAGCGCCACAACTCGCCGAGTCAAAGGACACCGCGGAAGAGCTTTAGCGACGATGGAAACGTTAGCACCAGGAAAACCCAGCAAGGGATGGAAGCGGGGAGACGAACAGAGGCGGGAGCGCGCGGGGAGAGGAGCAGAGCTCTTCGGCTTCAAGTGGGAACAGGCGGCGGGGTTGAGGATCAAAAGCGACTCCATGAATGGGGAAGCGAAGCAGACGAAGAATGGCCGGAGATGGGATATGGCGAGGGTTTCGAGAAGAGGGTTTTATATGAATGGAGTTACAGAAGGAGAGAGAAGACGGGGAAACACAATTTTGTACTGTAACCAACTGTGGAGCCACCATATTTGCACTCAAAAAGTTTCCAACTTTAAACCCTATTTTCAGTTGATCAAGATGTATATCTTAATATATATCTACTAAATCATTTTAATCAACATAAGCTTAGAATATTTTGTTGGTTCAATCTTTCATCTTTTGATGTACTTAAAAAAAATTAAAAGTTTATGAACTTTCAAGGTTGTGTCTAATATCATATCGAGCATTAAAAATTTAGAGACTTATCCACCACTTCTTAAAATTTAAAAATCTATTAGATACAATTCTGAAGTTAGAGATGTATTTCTTGTTTCATTTTGAAAGTTAAAAGGAGAATCCCTAGTACTTATAGGAAAATCGTCGTTGTCATACTATGTCTATTTAGTCTATAAACTTCAAAATGTTTCAATTGCATCTTTAAACATTCGATTATAATTTTTACACCCAAAAGTAACCCAATTGCATTTATTAAAGACAGAAGAGCTAAAAAAAACTATTAAAGTTTGATACCTTGAGTAATTGAACTATGTTCAAGTGAGCCGAACCAAAAACATGTTATAGGTTACTTTACTTGTTTCCAAGGGGCAAGCAAGGAATGACACCTTTTCAAGTAACCTAATTGAAGCAACCAAGAACATTTGTTACATCCTTTGTTTATAACTCAAGCAAAGAGATGAGACAGGAGAAAGATGTATGAAGTGTATACATTCACATAAAACGACATTGTTAGAACTATATCTACAGAAAAGTAGGCATATATTTCTCCTCCTTCAGGTAGGAGGATGAATGGTTTTTTTTTCTCTCTTCTTCTAATCTGCTGTACATTGTGTTGAAAAATCAATCACCAGGAGAGGGGAAAACAGACAAGAAAAATATAATAAATAATGAACAAATAAAATGAATTAGAATGTCAATATCCTTCGATACGTGGTCTCCGTAGGGCTGATGCAGATGATTTTCGTCTTTCCTGTCGATCGAAATCCTCGAAGGAGAGGGTCGAACATAGCCGGGGTGGGAGTGTAGGAATGGAAGATTTCCCTCCGGGTGAAAGAGATGGGTGAAATCCGGAGGGTGGAGAAGGCGAGAAACTTAATCTAGCTGCTGCTGGTGTAATGATTCCATCAAGGCTTGGTGATCTTAGCATCTGTTTTACTGGGGGTGCAGCGGGTTCTTGGAGCGGGAATCGGCTCGAGTGCTTCAAATTTTGGATAATCTTCAGGTGTTCAACTACATTCCTCATTGTGGGTCTTTCTGAGGGGTCCTTCTGAAGACATTTCAGAGCAATGTCAGCCACTGTCCTGGCTGCCTTGATCGAGAAGCGGCCTTTTAATTGAGGATCCATGATCAATGACAACCGACCATCATCGGCGAGGAATGGTCTGCTCCACTTGACTAAGTTCCTCTCTTCTTTTGGGTAACGACCATCAAGGTTTCTTCGCCCAGTTAGCAATTCTAGAAGAACGATTCCAAAACTCCAAACGTTGCTCTTTGGAGTAAGCAGCCCTCTCTCCAATGTCTCAATTGATAGATATGCTGCTGACTGAATATGTAAGAACAGGAAAAACAATCAACAACCTTGCACCCAAATCGGCCAAGTGAAAAACGAAGGTTTAAGAAGCCAAGATAATACATGTACCACTAAAAATACCAGAAAATCTAATATAATGGATTAAGAACTCACCACTGAATTGTTAGAAATCTCTGTCTCAGGTGTAGGAATGTGTCCAACACAACCATATCCAGAAAGCTTGGCACTAAAATCTTTGTCAATTTGAATGTTGGTGATGGAAAATTCATTGTACATTGCCTGCAGCAAATAAAAATCACATTCAGCTATAGAATAATAAACCGCTCTGAACTTTTTTCTCGAGTGTCACTGAGTAAGTTCGTTGGAGAGGGGGTGTGTCATGGAATGTTGTTCATTATTACTCTGATTATTTGAAACAATTCCCAAATTAATATCATTTTGAAACTACAAGTCTAGGGTTCTAACAGTGATTCAAATGAGGAAACCAAGTAAAGTGACTAAATAGTTATAGTAAATTTGAATAACAAGTTTTCTCACCTGAAAAGGTCCCTCTTCATGCAAGAAAGTGAGACCCTGTGCAGCACATAATGCAATCTTCGTTCTTGTATTCCAGTCAATAGAAGGCCCATCTGATCTCCCATACAATAGACGATCTAAGCTTCCATGAAAAAGCCTCTCGTACACCAGCATTCTTGGCCCCGAACCCTCATGGGCATGAAAGCCAATCAATTTACAGAGGTTTGGATGTTGCAAAGATGCTAGGGTATTAACCTCGGAAACAAATTCCTTAAAACCCTGGAGTATAGAATAGCAAGGGCTTAAGAATTTCTCAACCACAGATATAAATCAACTTAAGTTTATCACTAGCCTAAAACTGACAGTTCGAAATACTGCTCAAGTTCACTTGAACGTGATGAAAATCAAAGCCTAATCCTGACTTTTTTAGTCATTAAAGTATATATAGATTGCAATAATAAGTAGGCTTAGTTCCCAATTTATCGTGGTAGATAGCTAATTCTCGTCACAAGCTTTGAACAGAAAACAAGGTTGAAACATACAAAATTAAACAAGCTACAAACGCAGGTAACAGTGACTACAAAGGCCATAAGCAGTGGGAGCTGTAATTATACCAAACTTATCAACCTACGAAGACCATTTAAAATGGAAACATGTACTTGCCAATATATTACCTGGTTGGACGGATGGCGGCAAGTAACGGTGGCTTCAAACCTCTTTGAAGTTGAAGCGTCGTCTCCAAAAGAAGCCCTATACATTAAAGAAGATAGACTTTCTGACACACAGGATTCCGCAGAAAAATTATGGCAAGCAGCTGATATTTCTTCAAATGAAAAGTTTTTGGCTGCTCCGACAGGTGGTAGTGGCAATGGCCCAGAGGCGTACAGAGGTCCAGTTGACACCACTGATTTAAAGCTTCCAGTATGCTTTAGTGCCACAACAACCTGGGGTGATGGAAGAGGAAGAGGTTGAGGACTTGGGGATCTCTGTTCCCTATTCAATCCAAATCGGCCAATTGACTCTTCTGGTTCATCATATTCAACTGATGAAAGAGCATCCTGCTCTGCTGCATCAAGTGTCGATGGAGCAGACAATGTCCGTATCCTACTGCCAGCAGCACCATTCGCTGGTTGTACAGGTTTCACTCTGGTCTTAAAACTTGGTGGTGCAGACTGCAATGAGCGTGTACGAATTTGGGGTTCGGGCAGCATAGTTGGCACAATCTCCTTAGAGCTAACATTTTTGTCATGAACACTGTGTCCATGATTTTTCTTCTTACTCTTTAAAACTGGGAAGCACCCCATCTTGTGTTCAAGAAGATAGTTATGCAAACAGGAACTCCTAATAAATCTGAAAAAGGAAAAAAAAAGGTAGACTACTAAGCCATCAATTAAAATACATAAAAATAATGCAAACTTTAGTTCTCGTTAATCCAATTCCTCATTCAAAGTTGAGAATTTACATGAACGAACCCAGAAACAAAACCTAAACTACTGGTGCATTCAAATACAAAAAATCACCATAAAACGACTAGACATTTTGAACTTAATTCAAGGAGCTTCTGAAAACTAACAAAAGGGTCGAACCACAGCAGTAACGCCCTCAATTGCCATTTCTATTTACTTGCAATCTTCTACAAACAGAATACGAATAAAAGACGGAATTCAGATAGACTCCATGAATCGAACAGCAAGAGGACATCCATGCTTCCAAAACGTAAAGAAGAACAGGTTCACAAATTGAAATCCCAAATAAATCTCCCCCAACAAATCCAATCCGCAGCAGCAAACAATCATCAAAGACTAGAGCTCAGAGGTGAATATCTGTTAAATTGTTAATCTCATGTTCAAAACGAGAAGAAGCCCAATTACCCTAACATTTGGGGGAAAACCGATCGACGACGAAAACAAAGGAAATAACCTAACCAAATAAGAAAGAACTGTCAGGTACTGATAAAAATTCCATCCTCCTTCCATACCTGCGGAGATATAACCCGTTCCCCATTCATCCGATTGCACAAAATCAAGCAACCAACAAGAAATTGTTACAATTAACATACAAACAAAACAACCCCATCTCCCCATCTCATCTCCCAACCAGGAAACAGAGATCAAAATGAAGCCAGCGCCAGATAGAAAAACAACACAGTGGCGGAGCTTTCCAAGGAACTCTAAAAATGGAACAAAATTCAGAGAGCAAACATAGCGATCATGGGTTATTACCTGGAGAAAAGCAAAGGAAGTGGTGGAAGTAAGAGTGAACAGATCGGCGGACAGCGAAATAATGAAGACGAATCGAGCTGTGAATTGAACTCGAAAATTGAAGTGAAGAATTTGAGAGCGAAAAAACAGTGAAGAAAAAGGGAAAATTATTAAGAATTAGTTATCGAACAAACAGAGGAGATAGATGAACAGTGGTCAAACTTCTCACCAAAACAAACACATTTATTATTGCATTTAACAAAAAGTATCTTTATTTAATATTGTTCTCCATAAATAGCATATTCCCCCTTATGACCTTTTTACCCTCACCTTTTTTCTTTTTCTTTTTCTTTTTAATAAATTCATATCTCTTTAAATATTTCGAGTTATTATTTTACAATTTTTGCTTTTGGTCCCTATACCTATACCTAAATGTTACTATGTCAGATTTTTAAGTTGGGTTTAGATTGATTTATTTGTTATAATATAAGTTTTAAGTATTAATGTTGATATTTAAATTAACCAATAACATTTCACCTTTTTAAATAGGTAAACAATTTTAATATTAATAGTATGTTCTTATTTAGTAATTTTTTTATATTATATTTTGTTGATTTTTTCGTGATATTGTAGAAATGTCGGTTCACATTTCATGTTGATGTCGAATTATTGGACATATGAAAGTGTCAACATGACGATGAAAATTATATATTCTCATTATTAATATCGCGTGGTCAGAGGTAATACGAAAAATTTGAAGGTATTGTACGTGAACTTTTTTTCTTTTTTGTGTAAAGTTTAAGAATTAACCCCAAAGAAACTGAAAGAGTGAGAATTCAAAGCAAAAATAAAAATAAAATAAGGGTGGAAGTTTATATATTCTAATTAAAAAAAATAACGGTATCATGTGTTTTAAAATGACTTAGAAGACTATTCGCTGAAAACTCTATAATTCTTTTTTTTTTTTAACATAACTTATTCTTTTAAGATGTTAACAATTTTCTTCCAAGATAATCAATTTGAACTTCCACTTTATATTTGGATTGCAATGTTGGACAAATCATTTATTATTTCAAAATATACTTTTTAGAATTTTTTTTTTTGCTTAATAAACTATAAACAAATAATTAAGATCCTATTTTTTTTTCTATTTTTAAAAATCAAGCTTAAAAAATTTATAAAATGTCAAATTTAAAAAACCACATAAAGTAATTTTCAAAAATTATTTTTGTTTTTTGAAATTTAGTTAGGAATCGTATGTTTCAAGAATGGTGAAAAACTGAGTAATGTAATTGTATAAAACAAAAGGCATAATTTTTTAAATATAAAACTAAAAATAAAATAGCTATCATACAACACGCCACCTAATTAATTATCGAAATGGGATTTTATTTAAATAAAAAAATAACAAAACAAAAAAGGCAAATAATAGGGGCAAGGAAGGAATTGGTAGGGGCAGAAGGGTAATTTCGGCAGCGCGTAGATATTGAATGAGGAAAATTAAGATTGGTGAGGTGGCACCATCAGTCAAAAGTTTGAAAATTATAATATTTTGAATTAATTTTTTCAAAATAAGAAAAAAACAATTATTTTTTTTTTCAGAAAGAAAAAACATGTTCCCCACATGGTCAAAGATATCTATCAAGATAGACCTTTGACTGTGGACGCAGGCCGTCGGATGAGCGACGATGGAGAGATGGACGGCCAGGATGAGATGGAGTTATAAGGCGGGACCCACAGATAAGAACGTTTTGTCGAAGGGGAAGGGATCGGGCGGCATATTCCCCGTGAAATTGTGAATGTTTCCACCGCCGCGGTCGGCCGTCGGCGGTGGGGGCCGGCCCCACCGTTTTTCGCTGTTTTATTTGGACCACCTTTTTTTCTTTTTCTTTTTAATTAATTTTATTAATGTTTCTTTTGAGTAAGATTATCATATTACCACGTGTTAATGCTGTATATTGACAGTATTTTTAAGTAGGTCATGATTTACGTGTAGCTAATTTGAATATAATTTAACTGGTTAAGTAATTATTATACAGAGATATATGTTGTACATATRAACTTAATAATATTGACAAACAATATACCACGCAACTGGATATAAACAATACAGATACGGACAATTTGAACACTAAAACTTGATAAATATAGTCGAGGCACGCTTCAATAGCGCTAACCTAAAAACAATTGTTCGCTCTGCATAAGTTGCTAGCAGGCTACCTCGATTATCTCAACAGGATACAAAGACTGACTCCGGTAGAACAGCAACCTCGAACTACTCGAATCTTGCAGAACTTTTAAATACTTTTCTCAACACAAACGAGAACAAAAGAAGAGATAATTCTTTAAGAGGAGGAGAAACTCAAATAAGAATATTTGATATGTCAAATGAGAAAAACTACAACTATATATAGTTGCACGATTAGGTAACTCCTCACAAATGCTTTAACAAAATATAGAAATAACTCATTATTTAAAGATATAACTTCAATTTTAATAATAAAGAATTGATAAATAAAATAAAAAATAAAATTCAAATGTACATGTGAATTAATAGTTACAAATTTAATTCTGGATATTAAATTTGTAATATTCAATTGTTTATCAATATTTTCAAATTCCACTTTCTTTCCCACATTAAAAATCCAACAATTATCAATTTGAATATAACTTAAATTTAATGGATAAGATATTTATTATCACGATGATAGTTGATGATTAGATCACTCATCCTCGTTATTAAACTAAAAAAAGGTTAAGACACCAATAACATTTTTTTAAGGTAGGATTAGAAATATTTTCAAATATAGCAAAATATTTAAGATTTTAAAAATATATATATTTAAGTAAAATGTAATGGAAAGTACACTAAGGTTCGAATTAATTTTTTAATTGATTTTTGAGAGCCATAAAGTATGTTTTTTTAAATGAGTGTTTATAGCAAATAAAAATTATTTTGCAATAACCAATGGGTTAATATCAGTTTGAGAAGAATCATTTTAATGTCAACTCTCCAAACATTATTATAAATTGATTGATCGAGTTGATTCAGTTTATAGTAATTTGAAATTTGTAGAATCACTTTTATATCTAGTGCAACCAAACATACATGAAATCACTTTTAAAAAAATATAACCAAATCTATAAGTTTATGAAATCACTTTTAAAAAAATATAACCAAATCTATAAGTTTTTTAATTAAAACTATTTTATAGAAAAATATTTTAAGAAAAAACATTTTTTTTTAAAAAGTGACTAAATTAGAAGATAGGTCAAACTTACGCTATGGAGTTCTCTACATATAACATTGCTATCTATATATATATATATATATATACGTTTTGATTTATTTTTAGATAAATATGGATGAAAATAATGTTGACATATTGATGAATGTTTTTCATCGAAGGTCTGATCAACGATGTTAATAAGTTCACATGAAAGTAGAAAATCAGATACTCTAAAGTTAGATGGAATTATATTAGACATTTGATTGTAAATAATGTTGTAAAGAAAATAATGGTACACATAACGATACCTTAAAGAATATTATCGACTAATTTACATGAGTCTCTCAACTATCAAGAAAGTCATAACTCAACCTAGTGAGACCAGAAGTCACGAGGTGAGCCTACTCAAATCGGGGTGCATGTAGCCAACCAAACATCGAGGTGGTCTATATCCCAACACTCAAAACAAACATGATAAGGGCAAAGGCTTGATGGTGTGGAGTTTTTTGCACCCTACGTGACAATAGCATATTATTGTACTCTACTTTTATGGTTTGTCGATCTATCTTACACATTGACATCATAATTACAGTAATTCACATTACAGGCAACTACCCTATGACATCCTAACAAGTCGTGGGTGAAGCTTTCATTGATGGGTAAATTGTAATTGGTCCACGTGTCTGATATTACTATACCAATAGTATGTAATCACAAGATTCATAACATACCTATTAATTAAGAAGAAAATTTTTGATACCGATACTCCTTCCATTTACTGCATGTCACGCCAGCATAATATTAAAAAGAATCCATCGATATTAAAAAATTATTTATAATAGTAAAAGTTTAACGTGAACAAAAAGAGTAGTACAGCTTATAGTACTAGATTTTTTCCCTCTACTAAGTTAATACTTTTTGAAACTTTGTCAAACTCGAGACTCAGATAAATAGAATTTATAAGTCATAATCAACATGGGCCATTATTGGGCTCCTCAGTTTCCAAGCCCTTTAGGTTTGGCCCATGCCCATATATAAGGCCCAATAACATAGAAGAAACAGAAAGTTTAGCGTCTTTTCGGTAACGTTCTCGTTTCTTATTTCTATTTCCTCTTTCTAATAAATAAAAATACAATTGCATGACCCTTAATACTCATAGATTCAAGAACGATAAAACAAGATTTTTATTTATATTAGAAATAAAAAAACAATAAACTTTCTCGTTTGGTAACTATTTCTATTTCTTGTTTCTTGGAAACCACAAAAATACGGACCCGTTTGGTAACATTCTCATTTCCTATTTCTTGTTTATCATTTCCTATTTCCTATGTCTTGTTTCTAATTCTTTTAAAACTAGAAACAGGATACATCTAGTAACCGTTTATGTTTCTAAAAATAGAAACAAAAATATGTTGGATAACTCTTTCATGTTTCATGTTTTTCTTTTTATTTTTTTAGAATCCAACCATACACATCAGAGTTAACTACGTGCACACCAACTATACCATCATTTTACTTTAAATTATATGAAATATTACTTAACTTTGGACGGGAAACGGAAACAGAGACAAGAAATAGAAATAAAAAACTAACAAATAGCACATAATTTTTTTTCTTGTTTCCAAAATTTGTATCATCCTCTACACATCTACCTCTTTTCATGCTGTTTCCAAGAATGAGTATAGGTTTTGAAATTTTGGAGTGGGCAATTTTTTTTTTCTTTTTGTTGATAAATTGTAAGCAATTAAAATTTATAATTTTCTCTTTGCTTTTCGTTTTTCTCCCCCTTGTTATGAATAGTATTTACTGAAAACTAATTGACTTGCACTTTATTGCTATAGTTTATTTTTATTTATTTTTTTTAAATAAAGTTGTGTGACTTCCGACCTACTAATATTTATAAAAAATAATAATGTTTTAACACTCGAATGGGCATATTTTATTGTTGAATTTAGATAGAGGTTTCACCTTCATTCATTTCACTAAAAAAAGGAAATCAATTTTAATTTATAAGTTTACAAAAGGTCTATTTTAACCTCTCAAGTCTAAACAATGAGAAAAATTATTTAGACCATCTTACTAATCACTCCTTAAATACTCATTTTAGCCGATTTATTAAATTTCAATACATATCCAAATCGACATGTTAACAGTGAGACATACTGGAGATCACGTTAATCTATTTATATATTTTGAAAGTCGAAGAAACTAAAGTAAAATAATTTTAAAAGTTCTTTAAACCAAAATAAAAGGTTAAATATTGGAACTCAGATTTTTTTTTTTTTTTTAACTTAACACATCTAATTACTCTTTTTAAGTCTTAATTAACTAATCAGCCAAAGAGCTTTGAGACAGAGCCTTCAAATCGCCGCAATTAATATAATAATATCACCTGGAAGCTGGCCGGAATCAGGATTCTCCGGCCGCCGCACCTCTCCTCCGCCGCCATCCTCCGCCGTCTTCTGCAGCAGAGAATGCCGGCAATTAGGGCACGAAGAGTGGGAGACGAACCAATGATCGATACAATTCACATGGAATCCATGGCTGCAATTGGGCAAAATCCTCAAATCGTCGCCAATTTCAAATTCCCCCAAACAAATCGCGCATTCCGTACCTCTGATTCTCCCTTCCGCCGCCCCCGCAAACACCGCCACCGGAATCTCCTCCAATTCGCCTCTTCTCTTAACCCCCGCCAGAGCGGCCGACTCCCGGCTGAGTTCGCCCCATCGCCGCCGCGCCACGCACCGGAGAATGGAGTTGACGGCGAGTGCGCCGACGAGAGCGCAGAGCAGAGCCGCCAGAACTATCACCACGTTGAAGTCGAGATTCTTCTCGCTCGTGTTCGACGGCGGCGAGGGCGGCAGCGCCGGGAAGCGGCGGCTGATCTGGAACATTTTGGTTGGGTATGGAATTGGCTGCAGAGATTCCGACGAGAAATGGACATTAAAAATTGGATAAAGCAAATAAGAAGATGATTGAAACACAGAAATATTTGGGGATTTTTTTTATTTTGCTTTGTGTCAGATTTATTCATAGGTATTTTGAAGATGATGGAGGGTGGGACAAGGAATTTTCGGGTTTTTTTTTTAAGATTGTTGTAAATGAAATTTATTTTAAAGATATAGTTGTTTAATTAAAAATATTGTAGATTTTGAAACTTATTTTAAAAATATTATAGTTTTAAAAAACTGAAAGTTGGTCTTCACGACGACCATTTAGACATGGCGTCACACGGACGCCACGTAAATTTTTTTTAAAATTTGAACATGGTCTTCTCTTTAGAGAAAACCATGTTAGAGACGACCATCCGATCGATTCATTTTTGAAAAAAAAATATAATGTTTTATATTATATATTATCTAGTAGTTTTAGTGTAAAAAGTTCCTTAGTGGTCTCGTGGATGTACTGTCCAAAAAATACTGAGTATATGTATCATTTTCAATTTGGAACTACAACTCAACCAGCCAAGATATTAAGATCTCGATCTCAATCTTAAAAAATAGAAAAAAGCTTAATTATGTGCACTCATGTATCCACATCACTCACTCAACTTATGTGTCTTTAGTGCATACTTATGTTAGCGTGTTAATATGTATGTTTGAAATCGTGTTATTCATGTGTTAAATAATTGACATTTAAAGAAGATGTCGTCAAGGGTGACGTCGAGATTAAATGTGGGAGAATAATGTCAGAATCATATGAATTATATGTGACTGTATCCTGTGAGTGCGATGACAGGTTAAGCGGAAGAGAATGTTTCAATCCTATTATTCCTTTGACGACAATGACTCTTTTGAAAAACACTCTATCTGGTTCGTCTTTGGTTTCTTCTCTTGTTCAATGGAATATCCAAGTCCTTAGCAAATGAGTTTGGTTCTTGCTTTCTTGACGAGTTGGACTTCCTCCAATGAATGTCTTCGGAGATCAAAATAGAATAAACCTAAAAATTTAAAAACTAAAATAATCATTTTGAGAATTAGTGGATCAAAATGTTTTCAAAGAGGCATGTAGAGAATGAGTGCAACGTCTCAATCTTGGTAATCTTAAGCTTTGATTTGTGAGCTTGAGATGGTAATAAATGTTTTAATCTTGGTAATTTTTTTATTTTTTTATTTTGTTAAGTTTTTTATATGTATAGATTGATAAACTAAATAAGGATCAAATATATTTTTATGAATTAGAAAGATTAAATTGTTATATGGTAAAATTTGACACTTAATTTTAATAAAAATTTTTACGATATGGACTAAATTGTTACAAATTTTAAACTACAGGGACTAAATCGTTACAAGTTAAAGTTGAGGGACTAAATAATTACTTTAGAAAAAGTACAGGGACTAAATCATTATAAATTGAAATTGATAGACTAAATTGTTATTTCAATAAAAATACCAACCCCAAATGTATTTTTTAACATAAATAAAAACCAAAATGTTTGTACCAAACTCAGCTAGTAAAGCCTACCTCGGACACTTGTAAAAACACTCTAACGTGGCCTTTGCATGAGAATCTTTGCTTCTCTAGTCCTGCCAAGATTTCCAATGCCACTATGATCGAGCAACACTTTTTTTATTTTAATTATTTTATTTCTTTTAATGTAATTTCTCTTTAAAAATATGTCTAAAACAATATGCACTTTCTAAAGTATTAGTAAATATAAATGAGTTTAAAATTTTAAATATTATTTTTGTGGATCTACTTTCTATCTTGGTTTATTTTGATTCCGGTAGTATTTTAATTTTTGTTAATTTTATTCAACGTGTTTTCAAAACGTCTATTGGTCTCTGTACCATACTTATAAAAAGTGATTATTTTAATATCTTTATTTTCATTTTTTTTATCTCATTTCTTTGATCATAATTTTAACATGGACACTTTGCTTACTAAATTTCTTAAAATATATGTAGCCATTGAACGAGTTTTCATGTATTAAAATTTTGCAAATAGAGACCAAAATGTTTAATTTTTATAAGTACATGGACAAAAATAGATGTTTTGAAAGTGCATTGACTAAAGTGAACAAAAGTTAAAAATACAGATATCAAAATAGATGTTGTGAAACAAACCAAAGCCGAGAGTATAGAGACCAAATAAACCTAAAGTGATACTTTTCACTCCGTATTAGTTAAGATCAATAATCACTTCGTTCATTTGAATAAAGTTCAACTAGTTYAGAATATTTTTAATTTAAAGTTTGAAGATATTTGAACCTACACCAAAAGTGGAGTTGTAATTTTTTATATGACGGATAAATTTTGGCATTCTAACCTTTTATATACATGATCTTTCAATTCTAACAAATTTATAGGACAAACTAGAAGGAAAGATTTTGAAATGTTACATCTTAGATTTTGAAATGTTACATCTTTCTTAATATATTTTTTAATCCAAAACAAACAAAATCTTCACCCATATTTGTAAGTAAGTTCTAAAAGGAGAGAAAACCATTACTCAAACATTAACATTTAGGTTTATAAGTCAGCATGTTTGAACCTTATTTGTTATATAAAATATAATATGGTCAAAACGAGTATAGATCAGTGCTAATTGACATATATTTTCTAGTTTGTAAGTTCGATCCTCTTCGTCCTCACATGTCGTACTAAATATATATATATATATATA